TCCTTGTGTAGGCTGTGCTATACAGAAACTTGCATTTGGCTTCCTTCCTTCACAGTTGCTGCAGTTAAGCTGTCAGGCAGCATCACTGGGGATGTGGGGTGTCCACGGGGAAGTGGGGTGTCCACGGCAGCTTTAAGCTTCATAGACTCAAAGGAGTTTTCTCAGAGCTCCAGCTTCACTGTTGTCTCCCTGCCCCTGCACACTGAAACAAGTAATAGCTAAAAAGACTTCCTCCGATTGAATGCATTTTTGTGTCCTGCCCATCACTTTCCCCAGCTGCCAGGAGGCCATGTGCACATACTCTTCTTCTGAAGCTCTTTGAGAAGGACTGGGTTGGGTTTTTTGCAAGTGCTTTTTTCCCCGGTGCCCTTGAGCTCCCTGGTGATGCAGGGAAGTCAACTTGGTGTACAAAACTAGTTGTTCCCTTTTTCTTGTCCAGAGCGTCTCCTCTTCCCTGTGGCATCTCTGCTGGGGAAGCATGGTTGTGGACAAGGTGAGTTGTCTTACAGGTGGGACATCCCTCTCTTGCTTTGTTCCTTAGAAAATTGGGGAGGACTTTGTCACAGATCTGAGCCAGCTGAAGAAGCTCCTGGATTTCATTGACAACGAGACATTCATCAGGGATGTGGCAAAAGTCAAGCAGGTAATGGGGTGAGAGGGGAAGAAGGGTAAAGGCAGCATGCCTTTACTAATTGCTTCTGGTGCCTGGGGGCCCGTGCCTGCTCCTCATTCCATTTTCTTGCCAGGAGAACAAGTTGAAGTTCTCAGCCTACTTGGAGGAGCACTACAAGGTCAAAATCAACCCTTCGTCCATGTTCGATATTCAGGTCAAGCGAATCCATGAGTACAAGCGGCAGCTGCTGAACTGCCTGCATGCCATCACTCTCTACAACCGTAAGTCCTGCTTGGGCTGCCAGTCAAGGCAGGTCCCACACCAGCCCCTCACTGCCAGCGTTCCTGTGTACCTGTATGTCACCTAAACAGGAAGGGGAATGGCTATTTATGAGGATGGATGGTGATAGGACAAGGGGGAATGGTCTTAAACTGAGATGGGAGGTTTAGGTTAGATATGAGGAGGAAGTTTTTCACCCAGAGGGTGGTGAGGCACTGGAACAGGCTGCCCAAGGAGGCTGTGGATGCCCCATCCCTGCAGGCATTCAAGGCCAGGCTGGATGTGGCTCTGGGCAGCCTGGGCTGCTGGTTGGTGACCTGCACACAGCAGGGGGTTGGAACTGGATGAGCATTGTGGGCCTTTGCAACCCAGACCATTCTGTGATTCTATGACTTCTGAGCCTGGCCATGCCCTTCTGTCACGAGGGGCTTCTCCAGCAGGAGGACAGTGCAGAGCTCTGAGGAAAAGCTCACAGCCCACTTCTCCAGCATAGTAGGGTCCCAGGGCTTGGGTAACCCCTACACCTGTAGTGCAAGTGTTAGGACTGACCTGGTGCAAGTTAAAACCCCGCTTCCAGGCGTATGCTTCATCCCTCTGCCCATTCACAAGGGGAAACAAATCACCACAGCTCTGATTGTGCTCTCAGATAGTTTTCCCAGCAGTGTTTTGGCAGAACTCTGGTTGGAACTTCGGGGTGGGTTTGCTGGGCCCACGTGCTATGGGTTGGGATCCCACCCTCGATGCAAGCAACAAGCTCTGCCCCGTTTATCTTCACATCCACTGTGTTATGCCCTGCTCTTTCAGGCATCAGAAGTGACCCTTCCAAATCCTTTGTGCCTAGGACCATCATGATTGGAGGAAAGGTAAAAAATATTCTCCAGTCTCAGTGCACATGTGGCTCAGCAGGGATGTGGGGAAGGTGCCACCCCCTTCTGGGGCTTTTGTTGCACCCACTGTGGCTTAATCAGCTGCTGGTTAATCAGGGTTGTGCTGCTGGGCTCATCCAAAAACACTGTCACAAAATAACTGAGCTGAATGGGGGGTCCTGTCACCCTCTCCCTGCGGTTCAGGACTTCTCCCAGTAGGCTGTGTTTGCTGATCCATGTGGACAGCAGAGGTGAGGCCACAGTGATGCCCTGCACTAGCAGCTCTCACGCTGTGCCTTCCTTTAAAAAACTTTGCCCTTTCTGGGCTGCTCTTCTTCAGGCAGCTCCTGGCTACCACATGGCCAAGATGATCATTAAGCTCATCACATCCATCGGTGAGGTCGTCAACAACGATCCCTATGTGGGGGACAAGCTCAAGGTCATCTTCCTGGAGAACTACCGGGTATCCCTGGCTGAGAAGGGTAAGTCCTGGTCCCATGGAAGCAAGTGCTGGGAGCCGGGCACGTCCAGCAGTCACATGGGGTTGTGGCAGGGCTGGGCCTTTGTGTCTGGTTCTGGGCTGTGGGCTGAGCGTGGGAGGTCAGCAGGCTTGCTAGCAAATGCAGTCCTGCTGTCCAGGGCCCGGGCCGTGGGAGCTGCAGCGTGCCGAGGCCTATCTGCCACCTCTCTTGCTCCCGGCAGTGATCCCGGCAGCAGACCTCTCCCAGCAGATCTCCACAGCCGGCACAGAGGCCTCGGGCACCGGCAACATGAAGTTCATGCTGAACGGGGCCCTCACCATCGGCACCATGGATGGGGCCAACGTGGAGATGGCTGAGGAGGCAGGCGAAGAAAACCTCTTCATCTTTGGCATGCGGGTGGAGGAAGTGGAAGCCTTGGATCGCCGAGGGTTAGTGCCAGGGAGGGTGAAACATGTGCCAGGGAGGGTGAAACATGTGCCAGGGCCTGTCCCAGTGCTACGCTTTGGCCAGGAGCCCTCCGCCCTGGGCTGGGCTGTGACTGTTCTGACAAGGGTGCAGTCCAGGATGGCTCGACCAAAGCGCAGTGACTGTGAATAGGACACAAGCCTGGGCACAGAGTGCTTCTGGCAGCACAGCTGGTCTCGGAGGCACTGTCCTTACCTGCCCTAGACACAGGGCGAGGCACCGGTCAATACAGCCTGTCTCTGCCTCCTCCACATGCAGGTACAACGCACGGGAGTACTACGACCGCATCCCGGAGCTGCGGCAGGCTATCGATCAGATCAGCAGTGGGTTTTTCTCCCCAAGAGATCCTGGTTGCTTCAGAGATGTTGTCAACATGCTCATGCACCACGACAGGTGAGTCCTGGCAAGCATCCCACCCCCCTTGGTGCCTGCTCTTAGCCTGCCCAGCTCTCCTTCCTAGGAGCGATGTCTGTGTTGCCCAGACCCGGAACCCTTCAGCAGGCAAGCTCTAGCCTTGCTCTCTTGTGCTTTGGGTTTCAGGTTTAAGGTGTTTGCCGACTACGAAGCGTACATTAAATGCCAAGGCCAAGTGGATCAGCTGTTCATGGTAAGAGCTGTCCCCAGTCAAGGTGAAGCTGGGGGTCACAGCCATGGCAGGGCAGGGAGGAGTTGAGGGAGCTGGACGGAGCGTGCCCCTTCTTACCCCAGCCAGCGCTGCTGTGGTGTGGGGCAGGGTGAGGCGGGTTTTGACATGACAGCAGCTCCTATCACTGCGATTAAACCAGCGAAGGGTGCTTGGCCGGCACCCTGTGAGGCTGAGCTGCCCCGGAGCTGCACGGGAAACTGACTGCTGCCGTTGCCTCTCCTCTTCCCAGGACCCCCGGGAGTGGACTAGGAAAGTGATCAGGAACATTGCATGCTCGGGCAAGTTCTCCAGCGACAGAACCATCACAGAGTACGCCCGGGAGATCTGGGGCGTGGAGCCATCTGCCACAAAAATCCCCCCACCCAACATGCCCCGGGATTGACGCAAGCACAGAGGGAAACAGAGGGGGATGTGTTCCCAGCCTGGGAGGCCTGAGCTGCTTTTCACCGCCAGCCAGACGGGCTTGGCTCTGCAGAACCAAGGCCTTTCCCTCAGCAGGGTAGTAGGATGCCCTGAGGAGGAGCCCTGACTGAGCAACAGGAGCTGGGAGAGAGAATGGACCCTGTGTTTGCACCCATGTATCCAGCCTGCACGTGCTGCATATTGCTTCTAGTGAGACAACCACAGATAAGTCTTCCACAACTGTGTTCCACGCTTAACAAGGGATTTCCAGTTCAATCCTTGCAGTCCCTCTGCATGGAGCCTTGCTTGGCCTCCTCGCAGCGTGGGGTATCTTGTATTCTCCTCCAGAGGCTGTGCCAGCCCAAAAGCAACCAGAGAGGGAGGCTGCTGCCTGCCCTTCCAGTCACCTCTTGCCCCCATAATGCCTTGAGAAAGTGGGGTTCAGTGTTCCAGCAGCTGCCTCCAGTGTGGCTGCTGATTCTGTACAGCCTGGTCCAAAAGGAGACGGATCAGCGCTTGGGATCACAGAGCTTGCTGTAGCCTCCTCCTGCACCTATTAACTGAAAGCCCCGTAGCCAAACCACTTCAGGGATTTATTTTTTTTAAATGTGTTTTTATTTTTTAGCATCCATGTGTGCATGGAACAGGTTCTACTTGTCACTGCCAGCTGGGCAGTTGACCCTGCAGCGCCCTTAGGCTCCCAGCAGGGCTCTGGGCTCTCCTGGTACTTCTGCCCAAGTGGTGCAAACGTTATTACAGCTCTTGTGTCCCTCCACTGCTGGGTGATGCTGGTCGGTGGTGCTGGGGTCAGTTTAACACCTGTAGTGCAATGTAGTGCACCCATACTCCTGTGTGACACCAACTCATTAAAATGACCAAAATACCTGCTGGTTTGACTTGGGGCTGATGTGTAAGTAAACAGGCTTGGAGTTTCAGGTTGTAACGGGACAATGCCATGACACTCGAAGCCAGGCTGGGACAGGGTACCAGAGCCCTTTCCATGCCCTGGGATGGGGATTAGGTCTTTGGTTTGGCCTACAACTGGCACATAGCTTGAAATTCTGGGAGCAGATCATGCTTTCCCCATTCTGAGGGGAAACAGAGGCTCAGTTTCACACTTAGAGCTGGCAGCAGCACTGCAGTGAAGACTCACCCAGTCCCAACTCACCCCCCACCCCTCAGCTCCCCTCCCACAGCCCTACTGCAGCACAGCAGGAAAAGAAATAAAATCCCCCAAAATCACCAGGTGAAACAGGCTGCTGAAACGATCAGCAATCAATGCCTTTATTAAAACTACACCACTTTGAGATAAACATTTCAGTTCTAATTTCCAAGCTTATCACTGGCCTCTGAAAAAGAATGGAGGTGCTGGGATCACCAACATCCACAGTTCCTGTGCTGCCCCAGGGCAGGAGGCAGCCCAAGCCCACTGCCAGCAGCAGCATTAGCTGGAATGTACAGGTGCCTCTCTACAGAGCCAAGTAAGTGTTTCTCTTCTTGTCAGTGCAATAAATACAAGTGCATTAAACATAATTTAAGTGGCACAGTTAGCTTATGAGTATCATGGGTCAGAAACTTCAGGAATAACCACGTTAGTGCAGAAGAATCTCAGTACAAGAACAAGCTACTGTCTGCTGTGCAAGTAGTATGAGCCTGCAGGTCTAACCTGGATGCATGCCGAGCAGTTTCTACTATGCTGTACACCCCTGAATGGACCCTTTCTGGCAGCACCATCTGCTTCTGAGCACTAGTGTCTAACCTACAGCACCTGGAATTGGCTGTAGCCTGACAGGGAGCCAGCAGGACACTGCCAAGACTGCAGAAGACCCTCTCTCCTCTCCCTGCAGAGCTCAACAGCAGCATAAAAGAGGCCTGCTGTAGCCCGAAGCAGTGATAGGACATCCCCAGGATGTACCTCCATGGAAGAGGGCTCATTTCCACTTCTCTTTCCACCCACAGCACTGAGGTGAGCTGAGAAAGCAGCTGCTGGAATGGCGTGTGGTGCCCAGGATGTAGAAGGGAGGTGGAGGGAGAGATGGGAAGGAACCCAGCCTTGTTTTTGCATGGAGAGCTATGTATCACTGCCTGCTCTTAACTACAGGGGAACAGCATAGCCACAGATCCTGCAAAACTTGATCTAAGGAATTAAAAAGTAAATAAGAGAAAATAAAAAAGCCCTTCCCCCCCAAGAAAGCACACAGCTGTCCAGGTATGTACGAGGAACACGGAACACATCCACTCCCACACCCTGGGCCCATGCTCCTGGAAGAGGAAAGTCAGGCAAAATAACCTCATGCTTTCCAGTTTAATGCCCAAAGCTTGTAATTTATCTACAGCAACCACTTCAATCCTATTAAAAAGTGCATGTGAAAAAGGGGAGGAGCTCCACTGAGGATAATAGAGATGGGAGCAGAAAGGTTCAGGGAAAAAAAAAAAGCATACAGAGAAGATAAAAGGGCATTCATCATTTCCATTAAAGAGATGTTTAAAAAGAGGAAAAAAAAAAAGCTTTCACTTTATTTCCAAAATGTGTGCAATTAGCCCAACACTTGCAACACACTGTGACTCAAGAGCTGAACAAAAATACCTCTCACCACCTGGATCTTTAGTGGATTTGTAATTACAGCTACTTAGCAAGAAGGGAAGGCAAAACATGTATTTCCTAGAAAGAAAACACCTCAAACTCAAGCAAGACAGCTGTGGTATGGAGACACTGCAAAAGCCATTTGCCAACAGAAAAAGTCTCTACATGATCCGAAAACCAGCAGCAGTGTTTGAAAGTGAAAGAAACACCCTTGGTCATGACACACATCCAAGGTCTGTCTGTCCTCAGCAGTACCACTCTGGACTGGCCAGGCTCTGTTGTGCTTACTTGTTCACTGTTTGGTACCAGCTCCTGGGTCGTCGTCGCCCCTCCGTCCACGTCAAAAGAAGAAGCCAAGCCCATCCTCCTCCTACCATCACAGGCGCTGATGTCAGGAGCTGGAGCTGCCAAGGGTACGCATCAGGACCAGAGTGGGAACTCCTGATCTCCTCTATTGCCAGGGATGGAAGGATGGCAGACTGGCCCACAGGGAGAGGGGAGGAAAATGAGGAGAGAGGAAGAAAAGAAAGGAAACCTCTGCGCTGCCAAGCAGCCATTCTTCAGTGATGATGCTCTTGTTCAGGTATTCCCAGGAATTCCCTAGGAAAAGAAACAACACGGCAGTGATTCTCAGCTCTCCTTCACTCTGGGGGATGCTGCAGCCCACAGACCTTCCATTTCCCTGACGAATAGTAGGGCTCAAGCACTCGCAGCTACAGAAAACAGCAGCGAGCTTTGCTTTCACACATCAGTGGCTCCCACTAGGAGAGGTGAATGTTTGCTCTGCAAACAGCCCCTGCAGCAGAGATAAGACACGGGACAGAACTCTCAGCTTTCTGTGGTTCCCCTCCCACAGGGAGTTTTAACTTTGCAGAGAGACTGAGAACTCTGCCTTTGTGCTCAGCCAGCACCAGCCTCTCAGCCACTCTGGAGGACAAAAGGGCTTTCAGAAGAGCTGCCCAACACGAGCACCTGCTGCGCATCCCTCACAGGGCACGCATCCCTCACAGGGCACGCATCCCAGCGCTGATCCAGAGCCCAAGGCACCTCTGCCCTCCCCCCCACTGCCAGAAGAGACCCCGCAGGCCGGGCAGTTACCGCAGTATTCGAGGCAGCTCTGGGCTCCTGTAGATGTACTTGTGCCGGTAGCCGAGGTCTGTGTGGAACGGGACAAACTGCACCTTGTAGTCTCGGAAACTCCGCGACGTCGCAGCAATGTTGTAAAGCTGAGCCCGAGGGGAAGCAGGTCAGGGACACGTGTTGGCCTAAAGCTGCCACCCACCCCAAGGTAGCCACCTCTTCAGGGTTCCATTACAGGCCCTGGCTTGACCAGCTCTGCCAGTTCTGGCTTGGCTTCACTATTGATTTACCACCTCCAGCACCACGAAACCTGCAGGCTACATATTTCTGTGCCTATCCTGCCTGCCTGGCTATACAAGCTCCTCTGTGTCGTTCTGTCCACACTGGTCCCTTCCACAGCATCACCACACACATACCTTCTTTCCCAGATGAAACGGTACCACCGGGTCATCCTCAGCATGAAGGATGAGCAGGGAGCAGGAAATGTACTTCACACTGTAAAGCAGATGACGGCGTCACAAGAGCTCAGGCAATCAGAAGCAAGCAGACTGGACATTTTCTTCCCTACCCTTCTACCACAAAGAGCCCCCTGCTGCTGTCAGACAAAGTCAGTTAAAAATAGAGCATGCAACCACCTGCAAGGCTTCAGGACAGCACAGTGCTAGGAAGCACGGGCTGACCCTCAGCAGGCTCCTGGCACTCTTTAACACCAACACTCTTGGATCTGCAAGGAAACTGCAGTGGCAAATGTGTTCTGTGGGTCATTATCCTCAGTTCAAATCTTGACAGTGCTGTGATATGGGCACCATTAATGTAATCTACAGAAAGCTTACTAGTAAAAGGCAACCTTGGATAAGGTATTTGCTGCTCAGACCAAAGCGGCTGTCTCCTCTGCAAAGCACCATTCCCAAGGTCTGGTTGGTTTCAGTACTGGAAACCCAACTCCTAAATGCTCAGGCTCTTAAATGAAAGGCTCAGTGAAAGCAGAAATTACTATGCAAAGGATGGCTGATGCAAATGCCCATCAGAGAAAGCATCCCAAACCTTTAATGTTCTGATACTACTGCTTAATGCGCTCTTGAAAAGCATAAATCACAAGGATCAAATCAGCATGTCCCTGGGTAGTCTCTGTGCTCTTTTTCGCATCTCTCCTCATTAAGACCAATTAAAAAGAAAGCTCCATAGTGCATTCATGCCTGGAAGAGCAACTGAAATCCCTTCAGCAAGTACAATGCTTGGACAAAAAAAAGAGCAGAGCGCACTCTGCTCCCTGATGCTTGTCCTGGCTCACTGCAGCATCAGCTGAAACCCCTGCAAACAGGAGATGCACTCACTTCTCATCATTTGCAAATTTAATTCCACTTGTCGTGATGGGGTCAAGGAAGAACCAGTCAAACCCTGGGAAGTATCTGTATATCTGAAAGGGAAAGTTTGCATTAGTGGGAGGCAGCAGCCATACAGACAGTAACAGAGCATGCCACTGCCATCCCTGTAACATCTCTGCTGTTGGCTGTGTTCTCAGCAATAAGAGCGTGTTTCTAGTAGCACCATTTTCTCCCTCCTGTTTCAGGCTTGTGTTATGAGCCTGCTCAGGAGCCAGCTCTCTGGGTGCTCGCATGGTCAGGGTCTCAAGGCATCGAGGTGCTGCTGGAAAGTCTTCCTGCAAGGGAGCTTTCATCACCAGCCCAGCCACATCCAACACCCACCCTGCATGTCTGCTCAGTTCTGAGCCTGCTTGCAGCCAGGCTGGGTGGGAGAGATGGCCACATCAAGCTGAGCTCACATGGGGGTCTGGGCAAGTTAAAGGGGCTGCACTGCAAGGGCTGAGGCCAGGGAAGCCCAGCATTGCCATCGCTTTGCTCACAGCCCACAGACTGTCCTCTCACAACAGAGAACATTCAGCACAGGGGGGGCTGTCCGCTGCTGAGGGTAAAGCTGATTCTTCCTCTCCCTGCATTTACTGCTCTCTCTGATCCCAATTTATTTTCTTCTACCAGACTCCACAGATGACTGGTGGTGCTTATTGCACTGGTCTTCTTAGGAGCTGCCTTAAGCACGAGCCTTTACAAGTGCCAGGAGTAACCATCCCTGCTGCCTCACGGAGCGAGCAGTCAGCTCCGTCACTTTGGAAGGCTAACTTCTAGGCACACAATTACACACCACTGTTGTGAGAAGCACTGTGTACTTGCCACAGAAAAGGGATGACTTCGTGCCTCCTCCCGTATGTTGGTGAATGGAGATTCCAGGATCAGGGCTTCAGGGGGCGTTTCTGAAAAGCCAAAGGCAATGTGCTGAAGTGCAGCAGCCAAGGCCTGTGCCATGGGCAGCACCTGTGCTGGATGAAGAGCCCCCCAGACTTACCTCTCTCACAAAGGCGCCTCACTAGGTTTGTTGCGACCCTGGAAAGAAGAACAGTGAGTGTTAATCTGGCACAGACTCTTCGCAAAGCACCGGGCTCTGACCTACAGACTGTATGGGACGTGCAGGGAAGAGGGGGAGGCAGCAATGTGGGCAGAGGTGTACGAAGTAGCTCCCAAGGTGACACTGCAATGAGTTACAGCTGGGTCAAAGCTGCAAGGTCTCCTCCATGCAACCCTGTGGGATGGAGACATTTCCAAAGCAGCCTCAAATGATTTCATCTGGACACAGCCTGAAGTAACTCTCGTGTTTGCCTCCTGTTCCTCACAAAATCAAGGGGTCAACAGTCTATGGTTCCTACTGAACATCATCAGCCTCCAGAGGATGATCAGCAGAGAAAACTGAGAAAGCAGGAAAGGCAGCTTAACATGCATGGAGAGGCACTTTGGGTTGCAGACTTCTCACTGTTCATACTTCCCTATGCCAGGCACAACCATGTAAATTGCAGATGGGCAACAGCATAACCATGCAGGCATCTACACAAGCATTGATTACAAACAGTACGTTTGTAATAGGATAGGAGAGAACATGTTGTAAGAGAAAATAGCATGCACACGTGCTGGTCTTTCAGAATGTCAAATAAGTGTTTTGCTTTGAAAGACAAATGCAAACAGAGGTTTACCACAGGAAGACATCAGTGCTGTCCCACTTTCTTTCCCCGTAATCAAACAGAATCTTATTCTAAGTGTCTGCTTTCCAGACTCCCTCTGGGCAATGAAAGTTCAAGATCAATTCCTGCACAGTCATTTACTGTAGCCCTTCTCACTCTGCAGAGTGAACAGAGGAAGCTCCTCTGCAGCAATTACGCCTCAGACTCCAAGCCAAGCCAGCCTAGGGATTATGGCAAACAGCACCTTCAGCCAAGGTCAGTGTCACTGTTTTTCAGAAGATGCGAAGTCCCACTGCGATTAGATGCTTACCCTGTGCCCAAGGAGTGCCCCCATATATAGACAGGGTTGTCTCCACTTCTTGCTTTTATCCAGTCAAAGACATGAAGGGCATCGTAGGTCATTCCCCTCTCCGACGGGCTGCCTACTGAATCACCCCAGCCTGAAACACAAGGTGTCCCTGTTCAGAAAGGCATGGATGGCACCACAAAGCCAGCCAGCTCTTCCCACACAGCTCACCTGCAAAGGTGTGCAGCACAGACAGATTCTGCTTAGCTCACTGTGCTCCTCTACAATTTGGGTTAAAAGCCCTGACTGATCAGCAGTCACTGAAAGAAAGTAATTGCTGTAACTGCTGGCTGCCATGCAGTTTTTAACAGCTTGGTCAATAACAAAATCAAGAGCTGGATCTCAGACAGTGCCACACTGTGTTCTTGCAGCTCCCCATCAGTATAACCCAGCTCCCAAACCTTAGCTGCCTTTGCACATAACCAACTTGGAAGTGCAATCTCTGGTAAAGAACTGGATCCTTATGATCTAAACACAGGCATGTTTCACAAAGCTGCTGAGACGTCAGCTTGTCCATGCTGTTCAATCAATGCCCTGCAGCAATTTTCCACTCTCCTGATAGCCTTGGCTCTGTCCCTATTACAGCACATCTACAAATCCTCTGCTGAGCAGGAAACGTGCCACATCCCTTTTGATACCTAATAAGCAGCCAGGGAAGCAGCTGCCAGGAGGATGGAAAAACAGGGCAAGCTCCTAATACACCTCTCTCAGATGTCTTGATAAAACTGTGATGGGGAAATTTCTTTACCACTCACTAGTGCTGCCATGGTCTCGACACTAAGAAGGCAAACAGCAGCAGATGCTTGACTGCTGGTGGCACAGAGATGCAAAATGGTCACAGATTCTGCTGAAGATGCTGAGCAGTGAGCTACCACGCACCTCAGCTTTGCAAAAACGAATTTGGAGTGTCTGTGACAGCATACAGAATATTAAATAGGTCTTTTATCAAAGGTATCAGCATTTGTGGAGGAAAAACAGGGTTTTTTTTACTGCAATCTTGAGTATGCTTTAATTCTTGTGCATTTTATTACCCTTTAGAGAGCTCCTCTGCTCTCCAAATCAAAGAGCCCTGTGCACAAGGACAGACAGGAGCCAGAGTCCCAAGCTGGACATCAGGAAGCAGGGCCTGAGGCTCCGCCAAAGCTGCTGCCTCGCAATCCAGTTGCACTCATTTTCTGTGTAATGCACACAGAGGTTTCACATGCCAAGCAGGGAATGAGATCACTGCCTCTTCTCACAATGGTTACAGACTGGGGACCCTCTGATACAACAGGAATAGAAAAGATGAATTGTTTCTGGCAGATCTTCTCAGGAAGAAAAAAAAAGGGGGGGGTGAGGGAAGAACTCAAAGCTGTGCATTTCTGGAAGCTCTCTGTATATCCCTGGAGAAAAAAAAACACACAGTAACCACACCTAATTAGCTGGCAGTAAGCCTTTATGAGTTCCCATGAGATTAAAACAAATAAATAAGCAGCAACTACTTTGCTGCTTAAGAAAGAGAAGGCCAGAAGTGTTTCATATAGTAACAGGTGCCCACATACCTCGATAATCAAATGTGACCACGTGGTACCCAAGGGAGCTGAGGACCTGGAAGGAAGAGAAACACAAACTCATCACAGAAACAGTCACAGCAGCCATGCCCCTGCCTCAGGCCAAGGATGCAGGGATACAGGGATCTAATTTACAACGCCATCAGCCCAACAGGGCACAGGGGTTACTTTGGCTTTGTGATGTGGCAGGCACAGGACTTTGAAACAGGCTTTACTCCATTGGTCTCCTGAAGCTCACACCAGGCTTTCTGAGATGTAGGTCCCCCTGTAGCAGCTCTGCCTTTAAGATCTACAAGCATGCTCAGACTGTTTCCTCTACAACAACTGCCAGGTTTTGCTGTGAAACAGTCCAGCTGCTTCGTTTATGCTATTCAAACCTGCTAACTTGTGCTTAGCAGCACAGGCTGATTCCCAAAAACAACCAAGCAGATCACCTACATGACAGCCTTCTCAGCTGTCATCGTGTGCCATCCTCCAGGCACTAAGCACTTTTATCTTAGAAGAAACATCACCTGTTTCCATGAGGCTGAATGGCATTTTCCAAGCGACCCGAATTAAATAGAGTTTACTGCAAGGGATCTTGCATAAGGAGATGCACTGCAATATATCTTCACAAATGCCAATGCTGATGCCAATTAAAGAGAAAGAAATGAGAGCTACATTCATCTGGAGAACATAAACTCAATCCTTTGGAAATAAATTAGCAAAAATAGTTACAGCTCTTTCAGAAACACTTTGTATCAGACCAAGGCATTGTGTGAGAGAAAATGACTGCAGAAGTCATTAAGCAAAGACCCAAAGCAACTGAAGTTCCCTGTTCTCACACAGCAACACTGTGCTAGGCAACACTTGAGACGGTAACACAGATGAACTGTGCCATGGGAGAAGGGGAAACGCGGGCTGAACTGGTCTCTGATTGACAACTCATAAGCAAAACATGTGCACTGGCAATCTGAAATACACTTCATTGCAACAAGTGGCTGTGTGACTGGGCGAGCTCGAGTTCCCAGAGCCCAACCAACAGGGAAGTTTATGCTGGCTCAGCCCAACATTTCAGCATTTACAAGACCAAAAGTCACCTTGAAAGGTTTGAAGAGCGTGAGGAATACGAGCCGGCCCCAAACCTTGCGCACCTTCCCTTCATTTGGAGAGATGTGGCAGCATAATGGTGGGCATACAGAGATTGCTAACATATGAAAGAACGCTCTTACACGGTACCTGAAGTCAGAATACTGCTATAGTCAATCAAATCACGGCTGTGATTAAACAAAGCTTTTATTTTTCCTGTAAATTGTGTTGTGGAAGTATTATAGGCAAAGCTCGGTAGGAGCTGACAGGTAGCAGCAGGTAAAAGATCTCTGAAGTATCTTTAACGTGGAGAGGAGCGCTCAGTGCTTACAGACCCCTTGTGCACCTCATGTCTAGGGACTGGGAGCCCTCGGCTCTCTGCCTGCTGGCAGTGGGCTGCAGTGAGCAGCCTCCATGCCTGTGCACATCTCACTGTGCTCACACAGTCACCTGGACAACGTGCAGCCACGTACCTTGTAAAGCTCCACACGGTGATCCCCTCCTCTGGCAAAAGCGATTCATGTAGAAGAATTCAAAAAAGAAAGAAGTCAGCATTTAGGCTTCCACAGACAGATTTTTCCCATTGTCTCAGGACTTCAGCTAGACACAATCAGCAGAAGAAGCACTATAACTGCTTTGTAAAGGCCTTCCAGAAGACACCAAGGCTTTCTTGAGCTATGCAGGACTTAGCCTTCTCCCTTTAAATCTCTTCTGATGGCAGAGAAAGGTGAACTTTTCAACCCTCCAACCTGCCCCTGGCCTTGACCCAGCAGTACGCCCTGATCTCAGCAGACCTCACCACGTCAAGAAGGCTGGGCCTTGGATCTTCTCACCTGGCTCCAAGCACAGTGACAGAAAGGACAGGTGCAAGAGAGAAACCAGAGCTGAACATTGGGAACAAGTTCGTGGGAAGAATCAGCTTTAATGCGTTTAGGTTTTTTTGTAAATCGAAATCTAGATGCTAAAAAGGAAAGGAGAGTGAATGTGCCTTTAGGTGCACTAAAATACATCTACAAACATTGGTCTAGTAGTGCTGGAAGAGCAGATTTGCATCTGCACTCATACGAGGAGTCTAAAACATCCCTGCTGTGAGGGGTTTGGTCAGTGCAGGCTCTGAATCAAAGTGTCAAAATGTCACTCCAGAACTCCCTTGAGAACACACACACTCGCCAGCTACAAGCTGTCAGCTCCAACTGTGCTACAAAATACCCAACACAGCAGAAACACTCAGGGCAAAATGCAAGGGGTTGCTTGTAGGCCAGCTTGAACCAAACCACCCTGAGGAAGAGGTATTGAGGTATTTGCCTGAGAAGCCACCCATACGTGCACACCCACACCTTCCTCAAAGTGCAATGCAGGCATTTCTTTAAGGGCATCAGGTAAAACAAACAACTCTGCCTCAGCTCCAGAGCTCTCAGCCAAAGCAGAAAGCAGAGGCAGTGCCCTTTTACTTACGGTTAATGCAGCCTGCATCAATAAAGCAGCCATTTTGCAAGAGTGATATGTATTGAAGCAGGAATGGCAAAGCTGATACAACTCCAGCTTCCTCCAGCACACAGTAAAGCTAAATGTGAAATAGAGAACCAGTCCACAGCTCAGCACTTTATCTCACTAACACCTGGGGGAGCCAAGAAGTAAATCTAATCAATAGGCACATACATAACAGAGATACTGGTCCTAAATTACCACCATTATGCTGCAGAACAGCTTCCATTAGTATCATTTGCTTCCACACAAGGAAACAAGCTAAGCAGAATTTGAAAAATGAGGCAACAATTTGATTAAACTTTTAATACATCAGCACAAGGAGACAAGGTCAGTTTCTAAAGTCCCATCTGCACACGCATTTCCCACTCAGCATGCAATTTCCATACTTTGCCTTACACGAAAAAGGATTGCTGCTGACCTAAGATTTTAGGGGAAGGAGGACAAAGTTCCTGCAATGTAAGGGCCAGCAAGTCTTCACAACCGCCACAGTTAAAGCAGGATTGTATTTCTGTAATGCTTCCCCTTTGCAGAGCATCTGCAAGCACATATCAACATCACAAGAACACGCACTCAGAACTCCAAAAGGGGCCCATGCTCTTTGAAAACTGTATGTTAATAAAGCAGATAGTTGTGTACTAATAACTGAACTGAAGCTCTGCATCATACAGATATGGGGCAGGAAAAACATGGTACTAAGAATCATCCAGCAAGTTTCCTACTGTGCTTTTAGCACCAAGAAACATAGGATAGAGAACCTGACCATGGCTGATATCTGTGGTCAACTATAAAACTGCAAATTCTAAACACGTTCCAGACCAATATCCTGTATGTATGCAACAATGAAACAAGACCAGCACTTTACTTTCCTCTTTCCATCTGATTTTCCTTCCTCAAAATGCATTACAATAAGCTCAAGAAAGGAACTGGAAAGCTTATTTAATGCACTTAAAGCACATATACAGAAATATCTATCTCATATTCTATCTCAACTCTTTCTCATTCTATTCTATCATTCTATCTCAATTCTATCTCATACCTCAATTAAGAAACCATTAGAGTGTCAGTAAGTATTTCTCCCTGCTTGATCTACTACATGTCACAGCCTCCTGGCTTCTGGCAGACACGAGATACAAAATAACTACAGTATCACCTATCTCCGATAATGCAATCAGTCTGTTTTCAGGTTTGATGAATAGGAGAGGCTTCATTTTAAAAGAAAAGCACTGAGCTGCTTTTAGATCATGTGTTGATGCTGTGACAAGACAGGGAGGCACCACCCACAAGAAGTCACTGCTGTTTTGTGTCTCACCTTGTTCCCGCATTGCCGTGCAAGTAAAGGATCACAGGATGGCTGGAACCCAAAGCATCTTCAAACCACAGCTGGTCCTTCCCTCTGGCATTCTTCCATAAGGCTGCAGGGACCGTATGCCTGCATCCAGAAGGAAAAAAATACATCCCCTATTGCTAATCAGTCTCTGCAACTCAACCACCAGCTCTTCTGATGGTTTCATTCGTGCAGAGTTGCACTGCTCACGCATTTTCCATACAGCTGTCACGCTCAGCCAAAAACACGTTAAACATTTCTCACAGTATCTTTCAAACAAACAGTAAAAGGATCATCACTGGGGTTATTCCTGCATTTTCATCTCCATCTGTGCTGCTTTCAAAACTCCAGGCTGTGCAAGCCACCAAATTCAAAGCACATTTACTGCACATCCTGCCGTTCCAGAGAAAGAATCTCAGTCCCTCAGCTTTTATGGCATTTGATTACTTCAATTAACAGACTAAATACATCATAAGCAAGATTCACAGCCAGGCCAGTAGATATGCAGAACAATCACCAAAGTCAGCTGACTTTGGAAAGAACATTCCATGAGCAAGAGGCACAGCTGAGTAAGGAGAGTGGAGGACAAAGAGGTGTTCAAGGTTTGCTGAGAAAATCATGTGTTCTGTTTACAGCACCAGGTTCCTGAAGGTGTGACATTTTAGCTGGAAAAGCCACCATCTAGAAGAGCCAGGAATTTAACTCACAGCTGTTCCACAGAGAATATCAATGGGCAGCCTGTTAGAAAGAATTCAACACCGGTGGAATTGAAAGAGAAACAACAAACCAAATAAAAGGCAAACATCCAAAGTGGGTGATTATTTTGGAATACAAGCACTGAAGGTGAGTGCATGTCCACAAGCCCAAACCACTGACAAGGGGGGCCAGCTTACAGCTGACACAGTAACTGAAGTACTCCCTTTTCTCCTAGGAAGATCAAACTATCCACCACACCTTCCTCCCACATGTAAGAACATTCAGAGGGCAAACCAGCACATAAGACACTACAAAATTCACTTGTGTGTGGGCAGCCAGATGGAGGTTTTGAGGAAGAAAAAGCCCCAACAGCTGCAGGATCCAGCATTCTGCCCTAGGAATTCTGAGAGCTTACAATGAAAGCAGGCTGAAGACTCCGTTTCAGAAATGTACTGAACAAAACACCTTACAGGAGCACTAAACCAAGGCTCCAAACTTTACTGAAAATCTACTTGATAAGCATCAGGACAAGTCACACAGACACTGAATTGCCACCAGAAGCTGGAAGTCCTGTTCTGGTAAACAAATACAGTATATTCATAAAGGAAAACCAAAATCTCAAGGTTGCAATCTAAAATTATTCAGCACGTTATCAGGTGGAATTGCAATTGTTGAAGTGAAGAGACAAGCCATTACTTAATTAGCCTGCCTTGGAAACTAAACCAACTGCTGAAAACGTCTTTCAGCACAACTCAGTTAAAGGGAAGGAACCATTTCATGCAGCAGGATACCATGACCTGCTCACAATGGGTGAGCCACTCTCAAGCAATGAGAGCCCTCTGCATTGGCAGACACGTACAGAGGACCTGCACACAACTAAAACCTCTACATGCTACAGTCTGCAGCTCTAATGACACGGGCTGTATTCAGAAATGGCACCTTTCTCTTCACATCTGAACAGCATCTGGACTTTTTTCCCCTCAGGTTCTCAATGTTCTTGGATACACATTCAAACTGCAGGCACTTTTTGCTCAAAGCTAGCAGGGATTTTTCCGTAGCTTCAAAATTGCTGGTGTTGAAACACAAAAGAAAGTGATAATGAGGAACAGACATGAAAACTGGCCTGAGTTGGCCAAATAGTGTGACAAGAACTGAGAGCAGACCATTTCAGACCAAGAACCTGTCATCTGAGTGACCGTGGTTCACAAGCAACTCATATCAACTGCCCTTACCTGGGACCAGAAAATCTTCTGTAAGGAAAGCACTGACACTATCAGCTACTCTGCTGAGAGTACTGCACATTCCTTCCTCACCCACTCTCCAAACTTCACATATGTTTTATACACAAAATATTATTCCTCCTTTTCTGAACACTTTGATCCTATCTTCTCCCACATTTATTTTGCAAAACAAACTATGAGCAACAGACTTCTATATCCTTATGGCTGGTGTGATATGGAGGCACAATCTTGGTAATAACGCAGAGCATTTGTGATCCCTTTATGATTCCAAATTGTGAAATTGCCCTGGAAGCACACATTGTCCAATTCTGTTTCATGCATTACTGATCCGAGTTCAACCAAGCCCCAGAGATTTGCATACTTCTGGACATGAACTCAGCCACTTGGCAAAGAAAAGCACAAACACCCACAAATCAGAGCAGTCAGTGGCTGTCACATGCACAGCAAAAAATACTGGATGTGCAGTACTGAGAACAAAAGAAAGACTACAGCTGCACAACACATACTGCACAAAACACGTTTCCTTACCAGACTCCAATGGTCACATCCTCCTCTGGCTGAAGGTAATAATTACAGGTGTGGTTTAAACCCTGATCTTGTGGTCTTTTCAAGTCAATGAAATATGGGACCCTCACTGAAAAAAGAAATAAAAATGTTTAAAAAAAAGGGGGAAAAACAGAATATGAAACGTTTTAACTTTTACCTTCATTTCCTTATGGAACAGCTTTACCAAGGCACTTGTGTTGGGGTATGAGGAGAGTGATACACATTCAACAAATGTGCCAAAAAGCCCTTGTTCTTTTTGTGTGTAAGGATGAGCTGAATTACAGTTGCAGCTAAAACACAAAGATGAAAGATGACACATGTAACCATCAAAACAAACAAATAGGGAGCAGAGTGAAACCAAGAGGTGGGGGAGATGCAGCTCCCTTGAACCACCACTGCCCAGTCTGCTCTGCCAATCTCCAGGCACAACAGCCACTCCTGCTCTATCAGTGCAGTGACTTGTTGACTTGGCAAAGTTTTTATTGTTTGCAGCAATGGAATTTACTGATGGAACAACCTGACCTGCAACAAAGGGTGTTACCCAAAGTTAATGGGTAATGTGTTTCAGGATGGTGTGTGGTTTCCTCCTCCATAATAAAAAAAGATAGAGGATTGTAAAAATCACGGAACTGCAGGGGATGAAAGGGGCCTCAAGAGATCACCGAGTCCAACCTACTGCTGAAGGAGGTTGTCTCCAATAGGTCACACAGGTAGGCAGCCAGATGGGTCTTGAATATCTCCACCAAGTGATGGAGGTGGGAGACTCCACCACCTCTCTGGATAATGCATTATAATGGCAGACCCCACACTGCTGTTGTCATGTAAGAGTAAGGCAAACTGTCAAACACTCTCCTGAGCCTTGGAGGAGGATATGCAGCTTGCTAGCTGCATTGGAGAGTACTCCAATGAACAGCACATAACTGTCATGTCTTCATAGCAACAACGGACCAAGGTGGTAGAACATAGAGAGAATGCAACCAAAATAACAAAAGCAATATAGAAGCAATATGTCAGTACATAAAAGCAACATATTTACAGGAGGTAAACCAGCTTTTTATACAGGTAATGATAGAACAACAGGGAATGGCTTTAAACTAAAAGGGGAGATTTTGATTAAGATGTTAGGGGGAAATTTCTTACTTAGAGGGCAGTGAGGCCCTGGCACTGCTGCCCAGAGAGCTGTGGTGCCCCATGCCTGGAGGTGCCAAGGCCAGGTTGGATGGGCCCTGGGCAGCCTGAGCTGGTGGGGGGCAGCCAGCCCACGGCAGGGGTTGACTGAGCTTTAAAATCCCTTCCAATCCAAGGCATTCCATGATCTCTGTACTTGATCCTCCCAGCCAGAGTTTTTGTGATCAGAGGAGGAAGTTTTTCAAGCTTCATTACAAATCACATGCAAGTTTTAAAACAAAAATTTAGATTGCAAAGAAGCATCCTTTGTTCAGTAACTCTCCATCATTTTCCATCCTGTGGTTACCTGAGCTTCTCTGGGAGTCAGGTTTGCTCTCCAGACCCACTGCACGATTGGAGACCGCTAAGGCCACAGAGAATGCTCTCCAACTCATAGTCCAGAGAACTTACAGTCTGCAAAGGCTCACATCTTCCACAAGCCGTAAGCTTGCAGAGTGGGAAGTCAGAGCAGAAAAATGAAAAATGAAGACACTCCTTGCTTTCACCCTTCACCTCTCTTCAAAAGACTGAGTCACTCACCAAAGTTTAGGAAGACCAGCTTCGCCTGAATAGCAGGGCAAAGTTTTACTAGGAATGGAATGGCTATGTACACTCCCAGCAGCCAGATGATCAGCCTCCGCAATCGGAACCAGAACCCATGCCGCCTGTGGAAGAGAAGGACAAAAGAAAGGCCTGAGTGCAGCAGGAATTTACAGAGCAGTCATCATAACGATCCGTGTGCTTGGTGAATTCAAAAACCAATTCACTTATTCTTTAAACAAAAGAAACTTGAAGGAGTTTACGGAGCCTCAGCTGGTTGAGAGAAGCAGAAACCACCAAACCATCAGCTGAACAGTCACCCTAGAGACACGGAACAGAAACTTCCCTCTACAACACAATGTAACAGAGATTTTTTCTGCTGATTTTACAGATTACAACATCTCTAGAAAAGCACATCACACGTCTGTCTGCAAATAGAAGCCTGGCTGTGTGCTCCACTTTAAGCACTATCAGCATGGTTTGTTGTTTTTTTTTTTTTCCAGTTAAGACTTCAAGTATTTTGAAGAACTATTTGTAATGAGACTGCCTGATACTCAACTGCCAATGTTACACAGCATCTGTGCAGACTGGAGCAGAGTCCTGCCTTGCTCAGCTAGAAGGGGTCGTACCTCCCAATGACCTGGAAAGGAAATCCTTCTAAGTTATAAAACATGGTGAGATTTCTGCTCTGTGGCTTTTACTCTCTGTGTGTCCAGTTTCCCAATACTTCATTTCTCTTTTCTCCAGAGTTTTCAGATGGAGAGGAGCAAGCTGCTTTAAGAAAAACATACATGGAATCAACAGATCACAGAGTAGAAGTAAAGCAACTTTTCTCAAAATACTCTTTACCATCTCAGATGGTACATACAGAAATGTGTGTGGCGTGCATGCACAACGCTGCACTTGCCATGGTTTGCTTAATTGACGTGCTATGGGCAGAAACAATTATGATTCAATTGCGATTGCATGCAGTCCAGAACTAAAATGTATTCACACCCTTCAGGCAACAGGACTCCTTTGCTCTCCAGCTGAGTCCTGAGCAGGAACCACGCTGCACGTCAGTGAACAATCAGCACTGCTATCAGCAGCTCTTGCCAGCAGCCAAAGGCAGAGATCAATTCTTCCAGCAGGTCTGAAATTATTATTTCCCACTGGGCTGTTGAGGAGGTGACACGCTGAACTTTCTCCATAGCAGTGCCAGAAAGGTTTGAACACCGTCAGCTACTTGAAACAATCACATAGAGGGCATGGAGAGCTCTTTTGAAAAATATTTCTTCCAAGAAATGAGCGTACAGCCAAAACACTTTAGATTTCAACAGTTTTTGCACCCCTACACTGAGCAAAAGGAGAAAATCTCCTCCCAGCCCCCCCTTGAACTTTCTGGTATGGTCTCTGGGAACGGGTTATCTTATCAAAGTCAGCACCCACCACACTACTGCCTCCCCTAAGCACCTGCCTCTCCTCTTGCCTGGGAACTGTGTAGGCATCTGCCATCCAGGAGGATGCACCTTTTCTGGCAAGGTGAAGAAACAGCCATCTCCAAAAGGGGAACCACACATTTTAAGACGTGAGGAGCAACTCTGGCTGCAGTAAGCACACAGTGAAACACCCAAAGGATTGTAACACTTTCCATGGAAAACCTGACAATGAAGACTTGAAAAAAGCCAAAGGCTTTCCATACCTCGAGTCCAGTTTCCTGAAGTATCGGGGAAAATGGAAACAGAAAATGCCTGATGATGGAAAAGGTACAGAACAGAGGAACACCAAGGGAACCAAAGCCTCGGGGTGAGCCATCTCCACCCACAGACAGCAACAGGAGCAGCAGGATGCAGAGGCCCCAAGGGCACAGGCAGTGACACCAGCACAGTGCCTGCCCACACTGGGGACCTTCACACAGGACCAGATTTCAGCCCTACAGAAAAACCAGTGGTGCAGAACAGCGCCAGAGCCAGCTCTGAACCCCTGCAGACACAACAAGAAGACAGCAAAACTGGGATTCTCCCACACCTGGGTTACAAGACTCACACGTGAGCTGGAATCAGGAAACTGCTGAAGAACACACCGAGTAAATACATCAGAGCAAAGGGATGATTTTAATTTCCTCTTTTTCTCTGTAGAAGACTGAATGAGCATCCTTTCCTTTGCTCTGGTGCCCTCTGCCAAATGCTAATAGGTAATGTGACATTTACACCTCATCACCAGGGAGATGTCTACTTAAAATGCAACCAGGACGAAGCCTCAATCCATCAACAAACAGCTCTGCTTCCACGGATAAATCGGAGACAAGGACTGCTGTACAGACACGGTAAAATTATCTGCTAAATACCTAGTGAGTAATTTACCTAAATTAAACTGCTTTTGCCCTGCAGAAAAGCTATTTCAAGAAATAAACGCCCTTCACACGGTGCTTTTTGAGTGCTCAGGAGAAAGCAGCAGCAGCACACTTATCACCACTTCACCAGGAAGGTACATCGGTCTTAGGGGCTTACTTGGAAAATGCAAGCGAGTTGGAGAATAAGCAGCTCTAACCTAAAGGCATTTAAGCATATTGAAGAACACATATGGCTGAGGACCCTGGGTTTGCTCAGCCCAGAGGTCGGGGGGAGGCCTCATGGCCTGCAGCTCAGGCGCTAAGCTACCATGGAAGCACAGGCACCAAAGTCAGTTTTAAGTACTGCACTGTCACACAACAGCAACGGAGGAGAACAAATCTACCATTGGCATCTTTCAGTTCCCAATGCGAGTATCCAAACCAACATCTTCTACAACCTGGAAACAGCAGCTGAGCCACAGATTGCACAGGAGTGTGCAGAAAGGGCAGAGCAGCCACTCCCAGGATAGGACAGCCTGCATATCAAGTCTCTGGCAAGCCCTCCAGCCTTCCTCGTCAGTCTTGTTTTGAATGAGAGATGGTTTCTAGCCCAGGCAGACCTTCAAGAGCATCCATCTTCTCTCTGTGGCAACCCTGGATGGACAGCATTGCACAGGGCTCCTCCTTATAGCAAAAGCAGCACTCGATCTTTCTTCTCCTTCATGCAAGCCATTCAATCTGCCCAAGCTGATTAATCTTGTTTTATTTCACCTGCTCCCTGCCAATAAAAAAGGGAGCACCCTTCCAACTGTGCGACAGCACATTCAGAGAGCTCCCAGCTCCTGAATGGTTTGCAGGCAGGGGCTGGGTCTCATCTCCAGTTCAAAACATCTCAGCAACTTCAGGACAGCAATGACATGCAACAAGGCAGTGCTGCACTGCAAGAATAATTCAGGTCTTCTTGATTTGCTGCAAAACCTGCATCACTTGCAGCCAAATGCAAACTGAGAAGATGCTGATGTCAAAAGGTTTGTCCCCTCCTGGCTTCCATGCGAAGCTGGATAGGCAAACAGGCCACGGCGTGGTTCTTCTATTTCAGGCCCAGCCATACAAGTCCTCACTGAAAAATCTTCAGCCAAGCCTCAGTTCTGCTTCACTGGAGGCGCTGTATGCAGAGCATGGGGAGCCTGAATTACAGAAAATCCACCAAATCCTAACATGGCTCTTCTCCTGAATTCAAGAAAGCCAGTGAGAACACAGAAGTATCTGCCACAGCTCTAAACATGGCACTACAATTCTTTTTTGTTTTTTTAATGCAAACAATTCAAAACCAATTTATTCTTTCCTTTGCTGCTACCATAGCAAAGAATGCTTTTTTTTTTCCCTTTTGCTAAATAGTACATTGCTTTTCTATAGCACAGCAAACAGCTACCACAAGCAGTAGCTTATTTCTCTGTTCCTAGCAATATCACAGAAACAGAATGAAAGCTGCACGCAGCTCCAGAAAAATGCTGCAGGTCAGCAAGCAGCCAGAATATTTTATTTATATGCTAACCAGCACTTCCAGCACCCCGTCCCTGGTTTTACATTAACATCCCAAGTAACATCAATCAAATGCTTTGAAATACTGCCTTCAGTTAGACCCACTGGATGTCTAACATCTTTATTAAAAGCCAAACAACCAAAACCTGCCATTTCAATAGGAGAAGCTCTACACTGGTACACTACAGCATGTTTATCCTAATTCCCTTCCCTTCTGTTGCCAGTCTGAATTTAGCACGTTAATGTGCCAAAAACATGAAGTTCATCCTAGGAAAGACCTGAACCAGTACATGCAACTTAGCACTTACCTGCAAACACATTAAAAACAGCTTTTCAAAGCATCTCTGCTTGGCTGCAGCAGTGCTCCAGCTATATGAGTACAGATGAGGTTTGAAACTTGAAGCAGTTGACTGGAGAGACTTGTGGGCTTTCCACTCAGTTCTCCTCTTACAGCCCAGACAGTCAGACTGCGTCTGTAACTCCCTCTGACCAACAGCAAGTGAATAAAAAGTAAAGCCATCAGCCCTAAGGACCTCAGGATGTCAACGTGCCAATCACACAAACTTAACAGCTGGCTCTCCAAGAGACACAAATGTAGAAGTAAAAGGCAGGCATCTGTGGGAATCAAATGTTGTTTCTGCATTAGAATTGGACAATATTATTTTTATTTCATGATCTCCGCTATGGTAATTCTTTTTGAGAGTCCTTCTACTTAACTTGGGGAAGATCTCTGATAAGTTTACATCACTTATCCTATAGACGAACCTTCCCAGGAACGCACACTCTGTATATAGGTGTATAGAGATGTATTTTGTCATACACACTGCAAGAACATCCTGCACGAGAGCAAACCAGAGAACAAGTGATGGCCTACCCCAGGAAGGGCCTGAAGAGACATCATCCCCCAGTGCTCTTTGTTTAACGATGACTTTGAAGAAAATCACCATATCAACAGGACAAGGAGAGCACCGAGACATCTTGGAAACAACAGGATGGCTGCTGACTGACACCAGGTAACAAATAAATTAACAAGTAAATATCAAATGTCAACCTTCTGATAAGATTGTGAACCTGGAGTACACAGCCATTGGGGAAACAGGGGAGGGGGGAGGCAAGGGGGAGAAGACAGGGTCTAAAGGCTGCCATGTTGTGTCCATAGGTGCGCTCCTGCTTGCGGGACACCGCCACTGCAATCGTGAAACTAGGGAAAAGAACAGGGAAAAGATGTTTAAATACTGTATACAGTAGAGAACCTCTACAGGGAAAACCATTATTTGGACCAAAATAGGAGTCTGACAAAAATTGGGCCTATCAGACTTTGTATTTCTATGTAAACAGCAAGACTCCTTTTTCTGAAACAGAATTGGCTTAGGTCGCTTAATGGGTGCAAGAAGTAAAGAAATGTTCCTCGCAAGGAGTCAAAGTTCAAAGGAAATAGGAAAGAGAAGCAGAAAGATCATAAATGGATCCCTTAGATAACTTCCCCCCCCTTCAATTTCTAAAGCAGTGCAGGCAGCAGTGACCTCTGCAGAGGAGGAGAGTGGGTGCTGCTGATCTGTGCAGGGTCCTGGAGAGAGGATGCGCTCTCGATGACTGAGGGAGTTGGAGTAATGCGAATGGGACCTGGAGAGTTTTCCTTTCTCTAATGCTAACCTTACTAACACTTCACTTTATCCTCTTAGGGCAGTCTTCTTAGATCAAAGGGAAATAGGGTATGGTTATACCGCTGTTTTCACTAGAAGTTAGGAGTTGCAAGAAGAATTCCTTAACTGAGGATCCTGTAAGTGGAGCACAACAATTAGATCAATTTCTAGGGCCTAATTTGTACTCATGGATGGAAATGATGTTTATCACTGATATCTTGTTTATTGGAGAAGGAGATTGGCAGCTACGCAAGTGTGGGACATGAATACAGGGGGAAGGTTGGGCTCTGGAGAGAGGCAGAGAGAGGAAGGATCCTGAGGATAAATTGTACTGATTGTTGTCACTGTCTGTGTGATTGTTAAATGTTTATGTCATGAAAGTGTTATGTGATGTCGTGTACGAGGCTGTTATGGAACAAGGGGTGTCTAAAGTGCTACGGAAAGACCCCATGGGCTGTATTTTGGCTCACTGGAGAAACATTGCTGGTGAGCCAGGGGAATATTGAATAAGAAACCAGGAACGTAAATAGAGTAATGGGACCAGTTTTATAATTGAGTACCCTAATCATGAGACCAAGTGCTGGGTGTTTGTGGAAGTTGAGGAATTGTATTGTTTGATTTGTGGATTATGAAGGCCCTGGGAGAAACTGTCTTAATGGTATGTGGAAATTATGTGGAAATGCAACTTTTAATGGTATGTGGAAATGCAATTGCTAACGGTATGTGGAATTGTAGTTGAGGGGATGTATGGGAACTGCTGAGCCACGGCCTGAACCTCTGATTGAGCACCTGAGGAGAGCCATGAGTCAGCCAGAGGAGCACAGCTGAAGGCAATTCACCCGTGCTGCTGAAAGGGATGGAGCCTGGCTGCAGCCCTCCTAGAGCTATTGAAGAGCTGGCTGCCAGTGGGGAAGGAGCTCTGCTGGAGGCTGGCTCTGCTGGTGTTTTGTGGGTGAGCCCAGGATAGGGGTAAGCCTTCTATTTACTCTCCTTTATGACCATAGTCTGCTTTGCCTAACTCTCTTGTTTATTTTGTGGTTATAACATCCTACTATTCTTTGATTATACAGGGTACAAATAGTGGAATTGTGGAAAAACAAAACAAAAAAGGCAAAAAGGTGAAGGAAAACAGTGAGTTTGGGATATTGGAGTTGGGCTGGCAGGAGAACACATCCCCGCAAACCCCTCCTACTGCAGCTTGTAAGAACAACTTGGAGTGGGAGAAAGAAGTGGGGGCCAGAGCCTCCTGCTGTAATGTGAAGGGTGTATTAGATGTGAATAGGAATGGGATGGGACGTTGGAAGTGAGAATAGCCGGCATCTGTAGAGCTGGGGAAACCTGATATCCCAGTGTGAGCAATGGAAGCCTGGGGAGGGGGTGAGTTTGAAAAGGGTTTGGGAAAAACAAGCTGAGGAAGGCAAAGTTGAGCAAGGTGTAACAGAGATGTCCTTACCTAGAAGAAGAGGTAAGGGGAGCCTGGAAGGACTCAGGCAGAGTTCCACCCCCACAGGACCAAAAGCAGCTGGGGAAGCAGGGTGAAGAGGTTTATTTTCTGATACAGGTGCCTCTTACTCTGCGCTACACCAAGAATTATTACCTGTAGATGATTTTTGTAATAGTTGTAGGAGCTACTGGCAAGAGAAGTTTACTTTTTTTTGGGCCAATTAAATACAGGCTAGGAGAACAAGTAGGAATATATAAATTCTTGTACATGCCAGGTTCTCCAAAACCATTATTTGGGCATGATATGTTACAATAGTTGAATGTAGAGATTAAATTCAGTAGAGAAAATTGGAGCTACTTGTCAAGCAAGACCAATGGACTGAGAATTTTAAGTCTGGCTTCCCACAAACTGGGAAAAGCAATGTTGTACTCCTAGAAGTTATGTAAATCCTAAATGGGGTATACACAGGATTGCAGGCATCAGGGATGCTTGGCAGAGCCAAAAATGCAGCCCAATGAAAGTTAAGACAAAAATTACTTGGATATTTCCAACAGCATCTCACAGAGCTGGGTTTGCAATTGGAAAGGGCAAGTTGCAGGTATTGAGACCTTAATAGCCATGTCTCAGTTCACAATTCAGGTAATGACCTTGATATAATGACCTGCAGCAGCAGCTCTGTTGCTTTTCAGTACTCAGTAAAACGCTGTTAGCACTGGTGTTGTGTGTGACAACATTCACCTGGAAGCTGTGTTTCAAGAAGAAAGGAGTAGATGCTACTGTTACTTGAGTATGTAGCAAACAATGAGTAATTACACCCTAGGCAATCAAACCACTGAGTGTTGGGACAGAAAAGCAGGCCTGGGGACTGGGTTTTAAGGTTGTTTACTTGCTCTGAATGCATCTGGTGCAACAGCAGCTTTGTTTGCACCATGGGATAAATCATTCCAGGATAAACCATGCTTTCTCCAGAGCTCTCCAGCAATGCTGCTGATACTCATCAAATCCAAAGTCACCCACGCTAGATTTACTTGAGCTTGGCACTGAGATATTATCTGCAGTGCAAGTACACTCCCTCGACAGTATTTACTGAATGCTTAAGTTTTCTACTCGTTTTACAGCTAACAGCTGTTGTGTATTAAAGGCACAAGCCTCTTGCTAGTCCATGTGCTGGGGAACACAAGGCTGTGTGTAAATGTAAGAGGGGAAAAAGAGCATAAACAAGAAAAGGCTTAAACAGCACTGGGAGTGCAAAACAAGAGCCTTAGACCAGTTGAGTGGGATTCCCCAGTACTTTTCTCGCTCATATTCTCCATGAGGAAGAGGAATATCGGCGTGCAAAAACAAAGGGTCAAAAAGCAAAGTTCAAAAGCAAAATCGATTCAGATCCATAAAACTCCACCAGGTACCTAACTGCTCTTTAACATAAAGCCACTTGGCTGTTGAATGCATATCTTCATTGAAAAAGCACACAGTGCAGCCAAGCCAGCTCCCCTATCACCACTTATGCTTGTTAATGCACTGTAAATCTGCCAGAGCAGCATGTGGGCAAAGCTCGCAGCAACAGCAAGAATCCATAAGTTCTGACTTTGTTCCTAGGGATATTCATGTGTGAACAGGTCCATTCTTCCAAGCTGCACGCCCTCATGAACGTGAGATCTTCACACAGTGGTTTTTGGAAAGCAGCCACACAGCCTGAAAATTATCACTCCTGGTAGGCTCTGTGGCTCTGGCTCTCTTTTATAGCGTGCAAGCAGCCTCATCTGTCTACAGCAGTAGATCTTTCCCTTCTGAAAGCATGAAGATGGCCATCTTACATTTGTCCACCTGAGGCAGCTCTGCTTTTGCTGGCAGAGATCTGATGACCTGGAAGCCTGAAGGAAAAAATTGCTTTTGTATTAGCAGCCATAGTGCCACCTTTTAGATGCAGAACACATCACTAGCAAAACGTTTGGATTACAATGAACCAACAGTTCCCCGTTAGAGGCATGCAAGCAAACAAGAGCATTAACCAATGCCAAAACATTACATATGCTGGCCATCAGCTGATCCTGTTACATTTAGCTGGTAGACTCAGCACCCTCTCTACCTGATCTGCTTAGGAAAGGAAGAAAGCTTCGTGAACATGAGGCGACAGCCATGATTAAAGAACAGATGCAAGAAGAGATACAGAGTTGCTGTCAGCCCCTGACCTACCTTGAACAGCAGGTTACTTTGCATACAGCCAGGAATACTAATTCATTCCTGCTTTTATCTGTGCTTCAGTCAGGTATTTTCACTGCAGGTGTCAGCTTGTGGAGGAAGCAACTCCAGAATGACAAAGCTTGAAAAATGAAGCTGACAACTGAAACCAGAGCCTTTGCTGAAGTTCTGAAGAGCCACACCATGAAACAAGGAAAGCAGAAAGCAGCTGTTGGCATTTCTACTTAAGTGAGTGGGAACTGAATGTTTTGCAGCACTGTACATCATCAGCCACAAGCTTAAAGCATACGTGGTCCTTGCTCTGGTAGTCAAAAGGGGAAAAAGAATGCTTTAGGGACAGCACAAAGCTATCGGAAATAGAAAGAAAAGGTTATTCACTGCATTTCTGCTGGATTTGCAGAGGAATAAAGAACAGAGTATTTCCAATGACTGTGTCCAGTTTGCAGTTTTTTCATTCAGCAGCACAAAACTGACATTGTCAGCTTTGCCTCTGCTTCCTAAAGCTGCTTGGAAACCAATCAAAACTTTACAACAAGCGAGTTAGAACTACTGCTAAGGGAGAAATCAGAGCTAGGCTTCACTTTGTGGGGATCTACTTAATCCACTTAAGCGACTTGAGCACCTTGTGGATGCTTTCTTTTACAGGAGGAAGCCCTTGAAGCCCTGACTCAAGATCCAGTTGCATCACCCTCATCTGCAGAGGCTTCTCTGTCTCAGAGAAGTCACCCCAGGGGAAGGCAAATCAACCTCTAGACGGGGTAAATGTACTTGCTGTTCTCTGTTCTGAGCCTGCATACTGAAAAGTTGTCTTCCAAGTAGTTTTTATCCGCACCGAGTTCTTCATTCTGCCCACCACCTGTAACAAGAGATGACACCCCAAACAACCTCATTTTAAGTATCATTCAACAACAATCCCTTTGGCAAGAAGCACTGAGCACTGAGTTGCAGTTTCAGCTGCTACAAATTTGATTTCAGTACTCCAAACACTCTAGAATAGAGCAGATACTGCAGAGCAACAGCTGCAGACTGAGCCAGCCTACTTGCTTGCTGTTCTGATGGAGAAGCAATACACCACAGTGAAAGGTGAAGCTCACACTCAGCCCCACTGACCAGAGAAGGAGCAGCAGCTGCTATCGCACACTTCACACAACAGAAGGCAGAGACAGCCAAAGACACGAGGGAACACCTCTGGGCTTAAGTGATGTTAAAAGAGGAGCAGGATATTCTGTTATCTGTGCCTCACGCCATTCAGCAAACATTCAGATATGGCGATTACTTACCAAAATAATTGGAAGTGGCCACTCTGTCAGGGGAAGTTTGCAGCCATGCAATCCCATACGTCAGAAGGTGTTGTTTCAGATATTTGCTCGAATCAGAAGAAAACTGAAGGCCGGTTTTTATTTACTCCAGACTCTTCTTTTGGTTTCTGCAATCGTCCCTCAGTGATTGGAAAGATTGCTTTGAACAATGTGAGGGCAGCTGTGGGACTTATCTCAAATACTTCCAATTGTTTATTTTTTTACAAGTTCTATTTCTTGTCCAACATTTTTTTTAGTGCTCTAGCACTCAGTAAGAGTTATAGTGTTGAAATAAATCTGGATTAAGCAAACAGCTCGATTTGAATAGTAAACACAGACACCCTTCCTGCTAGCTCAGCTCAATGATCATAGTTTAAATGATCAAAGCACACAGGCTAAAAATAGGAAACTCTGCTCACAAGTTTAATTGCCTTCATCGAGCAAGAAGCAGACTTCTGAAGTTCACTGCCATGCTGTTAGTGCAGTGGGAAAGAGAAGCATGCCAGCAAGGTGAGAAGCAAGGCAGAGAAGCTGGGCAGCACAGACAGCATGCTGGTACACCAGTGGCCGGTGGAGGTGGCCACACAGAGCAATTCTGGGCTACAGCATCACATCGGGCCCTGCTCCCCTCTCAGCCATGCTGCCCCGGGGTCAGCTACCTTTAACCTGTCTCCTGAGAAGGTTCAGCTATTTTGCCAGCTGCCCTGGGCTGCTGACTTGCCCTGCTCCCCACCTCATCCTCCCAGTTCTTCCAGCCTCCTCGCTGCTGTGGCTGATGCACAGAATTACCCTGCAGCCCAAGGATCAATCCCAAGAAAACTTCCTACTGTTTTGCTGCCTACTGAGCTGGTTTGCGATACATCTGATACAAACTCTGTTTGCAATGCAAACCCTTAGAACAAACCAAAGCACAACATCAAGAGCTTTGGAGAAACAATTCTACCACTTCCACCAATGAAGATGCAATCTTGATAAACTTGCCACATTTTATACCCTGCCTTCCAAAGGATAAATCTACTTTCATTAGAATGTTTAGCTGTTAAATCCTCTTTTATTGAATTGCAAGTTAACTCTTACCATTAGAATTGCACAGGCACCACCTCAGGCTAATGACTTGAAAGTCTCCTAGATCTCCTGTTACCCTTTTAAAACACCCAAGTACTGTCTTTTAATCTTCCCGTGGTACTGATTCAGTCACGGCCACATTAACATAGTGCTCTCACATTACAGCCTTAGTGAACCTTCCTTGCTTACACTCACTCACTCTGGATATCAGAAGCCATCCACGACTGTACCACCACCAATGTCACCTTTACAGCAGCTACACTGAGTTTCCAAAACGCAGGGATCCATAGGGGAATTGCAATAGAAGCGTGTTTACCAATTTCACACCCTGATGTGAATGCCAAAATAATCTGATCTGCCTTCAGGCCAGCAAGGGTAAGATAAATTATTTGCAGCCTCCTAAGAGGATATCACCAGGTCTCTCACTCAGAGCAGCAGATTCTGGAGAGGATATGATGTCACCATCATTAATTTTCATTAAAACACCACAGTGTTGTTTCCAACAAAAAGAAACGCATTCCCACATCCTACAGGAAAATCTATGGACTTGCTGTGATGACCTGGGAATGCATTTGCAGAGAACTAGATTCCTGGCTGGGCAACTACATACCATTTATAGCAAGAAAGCAAATCATCTTCAGAAACAAGCTCGTCGTAAGTAGGCCATTGATCCTCTGTGTAAGAATGGGCTGGAAATAGACAGGAAGGAAAAAGGGACATACAGAGAGAAAAGCTCACAATGGGAGCCCAGGACTTGTGCTGATGATGAAGCTCAGCTGGTCACCCCGCAGCACAGCATCACACTGACTGACAGCTCGCCCTATGATACAGCAGTCCCAAAGGAACTAACAGCAGCCACGGTTAATAATTTAGACATAAGCCAAAGAAGAACAACTGAACTCAAGGGTCCATAGGATGCCACAATAATGGCACTGCAGTCAAATAGAGTGCAAGGAGACCAACACGAAACTCAGTTACAACACCAGAGAAAAATTCCCGCTGAGCCCAAAGCAAGTGTGCTTGGGCAGAGTTCTTTGAAACATGGGGAACTGGAGAAAACAGTTTTAGCCACAGCCACTGAGTTCCCAGTCATGGGACAGGCAGACAGACGTGTGGAAGTAGTTACACAATGCCATTTTTGATAGATCCAAGCAAAATACTACCGTGCTTCCTCTTCAAAGAGGAATTGCAGTAAAATTATTAATAAAATTAATAGAAAACCACAGAGCAGGTTGTTTTTACAGCCAAATGAGAAACCATGGTTCAACCTGTACTTAATATGGAAAAAAGCACAGCATGAGACTGGAAACTGTCACCAGTCCTTCGTGCACTCTGCTCACCAACAACTGATCTGAAAGACAGAGATGGCCAAGTCTTCTGTCAAGAGGAAAGATGCTGCTGCTTAAATCCAAAGAGACACAGGGAGGCACAGAGCACGTCAGCTACTGGAGCTGTGTGGCACCAAGGGTCACTACACATTGCATTCAGCATGCATGGGCACACTCACTGCTCCAGTAAAATTAAGAGACAGGAGCAGGGGCTGCTAAGAGTGGAGGTAGCTGAGATGAGCGAAGGGGCAGCAGGACAGCAGTTCTCCAGAGACGCAGCACAACAAAGCATCAGGTACAGAGCTCCCACTCACAGAGTCTGCAGCTTGTCACTGCTTCACAGCACAGAGAATCAACTAAGCTTCACCAGCAAACGAGACCACAGAATGGCAAAATTACCATTTCAGGTCTAGAGTCTGGCTATTGATCGGGATTAAAGAGGCACAGATAAGGACTAAGCCACAGGAGAGAAGGGTAATATTCCTGCGACTGTTTGCCTCCAGGATCAGGGTTCAATAGAAATGAGATAGGAGAACTTGCTTTCAGATCAAAGCCAGTATTAAACTCACCTGACTTCCTTTATTCTCCCTGTTCTCACATCAAGGTGTTCTGTAACTAAGGCTGCTCAAATGCTTTTCCTCGAAACATCACAGCCAGCAATCACAAAACTGAGATACATTAACAGCCTTACAATCACTCTTCAAACACACATCTGCTAAGATTGCTTACTCAAAACACACTTCTACCTTAATAACCAACCAGCAGATAATTCAAGCTGTCAGGTAGAAAGTCGCAACACAATCATTACAGGAATGGTCATCCACACAAGACACACATATCAGGAAATCCAAGCGCTTTGTATGCTGCTTGTTTAGCACTGCAATCTCAGATTTAATAGTTTCAGGCAAAATGTCTCAATCCTTTCTTAAAAAAATTTAAAAAAAAATTGTTCTCAATCTGTCAAAGCAGCTCCTGGTAAAGTTCTTAGATAATCACCATACTTAATATTATCACTACATGTGGGAGCAAAACAGGAAGACATGCATTTCTTGACATCTGTAAGCCACACTGACTACAGTATGCACTCACATACATCTTTGGTTTATCAGAGATCCATCGCCATCAGCTGTATGTGCACATATGCACTTTTTGTGACAGAGGAGCTCAAACGCCATCACTTCAGAATCAACTTCAGCTCCGGGATGAATGAGTACAGCATGATGATGGGTCTGAACCACAACAGAGGGACATGTGCAATGCTATTAAAACTCAAAAATACTGCTGGAAGAATAAGCACTGTTTACATTTAGGTGCTATTTAGCCTTTGTTGAGGCACTGGACGTGAAGAGAGAGAGTCCTGCTGGGGAAGGGCACCCACAAGCCCTGCTAGTGCTTTGCAGCCCAGGTCAGCACTGCCATCACAAACTGCTGTCTCTGCAGTCCCAATGCTCCACAGCCACAGGAGCTGCTATGTGGTCAGCCCTGGGCTGTAGAACCACGCGGATGCTTCAGGCTGCTATAGAGCTGCTTTGCTTTTCCAACCAGCAGTTTGTGTCACTATCAAAGATGGAAAACCATACACAGAGTGAGTTTCTTAACAGCAGCGTGAAATGCAAGCAGCCCTAGTTGCCCTGGACACGGAACCCACAGCCACCACAAGTGCCAATTTTAACTATTGCATCAATGAGCACATTGCTAGGAATAACTAGTTGCAGCACTAATCCCCAGTTACAGAGTGTATGGGAACTGCTGAGTCGCCTGCCTGAACCTCTGATTGATCACCTGAGGAGAGCCATGAGTCAGCCAGAGGAGCACAGCTGAAGGCAATTCACCTGTGATGCCGGAAGGATGGAGCCTGGCTGCAGCCCTCCTAGACCTATTTAAGAGCTGGCTGCCAGTGGAGAAGGAGCTCTGCTGGAGGTTGGCTCTGCTGGTGTTTTGTGGGTGAGCCCAGGATAGGGGTAAGTCTTCTGTTTATTATCTTTTGTTGTCATAGTCTACTTTGCTTAACTCTCTTGTTTATTTTGCGATTATAACATCCTAATATTCTTTGATTATACACAGACACTATGCCAACTGCACCTCCCCAGCATCCTTGCAATGTAGCTTCACGTCCTTCCAGTTTCTGTGAGCTAGGAAGCAAAAGTGATGAAACACACTAACAAACAACAACACAACCAAATACCCATGGTATAAGGAGCTATAAGGGGTAATAACCTTATACTGAGCAGTATGCTGCAACAACAGCACAACTCTGCACATCAAAATGGAAGGAATCAGGTACAGAAGTTTGCTGGCTACATAACTGGCCATGGTCAGGATACCCTGCCTGGAGAGGTTCATTATGTGTGTTGCTTCTTCTTACGTTCCTCCTTACACACTCTGCAATCTGCTGATGAACATGGGGCAGCTGTCTGACCTGCCTTAAGATAGCTGCCTTGGATAACACTGTTATCTCTGTGCATCAGACTCCCTTCTGCCTGGACCTCCCATTCCTGCAAGCTCAGATTCACACTTCAGCAGTGCAGTTGTTATCCTGCAGAAAACATAACTGGAGGATATTAGCAGACCCAAATATCCTGCTTGCAAACCACTGGCTGAAGGGTGAAGCAGTCAAAGGAGGTTCACTTGAAGTATATGACAACCTGCACTGGTACAGCAGACAAGAAAAGGCAGCAGAAGGAGATAAGCAAGTGATTGTTTCTTTTAATGTTCTTACTTGGCTGCGAACAAGAGTCATTTCTGTAATACTGCCCAGGATGGTCCATAGGATTTCGTCTATTTATATTGCTGTTGAGGGAAAGTGAGCTCCGAACAGATAAAGCTTTCCAACAACATCAAGTTTGTAAGATGCTGCTGTATGGAATATATGATTCAACCAAGACAATTAACAAGCTTAAAACGCATGCAGGACTCCAGGGGCTTCTGAAACAGTTTCAAAGGCTCAACTTGGAGAAAAGCAGGGAAAATTTGCCCACTGACTGTTTTTGAAAAGTGCAAAAGGAGGAATAAGTACAAGGAAACTTTCCACAAGCAGAGCATGCGTTCAGCTTGGCCTTCCCTGTGCCATAGATCTAGGAGCAGTGCTCATTCTACCACATCTCTGCCTACCAGAGCCAGCCAGCAGCCTGAGGCTCTGCTCAGGTAGCACCTCTGCTTCAGCAAAGAAGCGCTTTAAAACTGGAAGAGTCAGCAAGCTATCACTTGGTAACTTCTGAAAGTAGGGGTAATCTCCTACAGCGAAATCAAGTAAGTAGTCACAGAAGCTGAACACGCACACAGTCTGAGCTACTGCACACCATCAGAACGGAGAAGCCAACCCAGCGCCATCTGCAATTACTACAGCTTGTGCGAACACGAACCGAGCGCTGACAGCATCCCAAAGTTTTACCTGTGGGGCACGAAAACAAACACCATCACCCACAGAGATTAGCAACAGCACTTTATGGGCTCTGCCACCACTCGTGACAAAAAGAATCCATGTCATCAGCAGGAAAATTTTCCTTTCTAATGTTGGTTTTGTCTAAGAGAACAGAAAGATCCTCAGGGAGTTCACCACAGAAAGAGCCACTCGGGCTCATTTTCCAGAGCCTCGCCTGCCTTTAGGCTCCCACAGGCTGCCGCGTTCCTGCAGCACAGCGATTTGGCTCCAGCCTCCCGAACTGCACGGCCATGAAATACTCTTCACACTTCAGCAACGTGACCATGGCTAACGCCGGCTGCACAGCGGCAGGAGCTCGGGGCTCTGCCCTTTTCCGCCGCCCTTCCGAAGCATCCGTCCGTCTTCGTACAAGATGTGAAGACGGCCCTAGGCTAAACGCATCTTCTCCCATTACAGATCTATTGCTTTTAAGAGGAATGCAATCGCTCTCCTGGCGTAACAGCACCAACACGCAGAAAGCACTACAAATGCCGAGGCGGCAGACAGAGAACGGCCGCGGCTTCGCCCCGGCCGCGGCTCTCGCGCGGCAGCCGGCCGAGCCCCGATCCCGGCGCCCGCCGGCACACGCTCGCGACCCCGGCGGAGAACGGCTTACCTGCCGAGCGGTCGCTTCATGCCCGTGTCGGCGGCGGGCAGGCGCAGGCTGTGCCTCAGGCTGCAGCCCTTGTCGAGAGGCGCGGGCGCGGCGGCGCGCTCATGCTCCACCGTGACCGACTCGTTGCGCTTCCTCATGGCGGGCGGGGGAGCAGCGGCGGCGGCGGACCGGGACGTCGGGGACGACAGCAGCGGCTCCGCGCACGGCCGCCGCTCGCCCAGCACCGCGCTCGCGCTGGCCCCGGCCCCGCCCCCGCCAATCTCCGCCTCCGGAGCGGGCTGGGGACAAAGGACACTCGCACCTCGGATGGCCGCCGCCCACTCCGCGCGGCGCCGCCATCTTTACAGCAGGCAGAGAGCGCCGCGCCGCCATCTTTACTGAGGGCAGAGAGCGCTGCGCCGCCATTTTGTCGGCGGCCCGAGGCGCTGCCGCGGCGTGTGGGCGGGGCGGTGGCGGCCGCGCTGGGAATAAATAAACCGTCTATTCTACTGTCACCAATAATATTAATAAATAAAAGTATCTGTGTGGTAACAATGAGCAGCAGAAAGCAGGCACTCTTACGTATCTCGTCTTCCAATAGTAAACATTGGGTTGGTCTGACAGGGTGTCCGTGTGCTCTCCTACAGGGAAGGAGTGGAGGAATTCCTGGAAAGCAGAGCTCTTCAGACAAGTGACCACAGCTATTCTGTGGCCGTATCTTCTGTCATCGTGCAAACTGAGCCGTACCTGGAACATACACTGAGATTCCAGGTAAATAGGGCATTACAAATTCATCCCAAAAGCAAAAACAGTGCGTCGGCGAGGAGGAAGTCGTTGCCATCAGACAAGCATCAGCTATCTCAGCATAACGGTTAGCTTGCAGAAATCACACGCTAACGTGCTGATGTCTGCTTTGCCATGTCAGTGGAAGCTTCTACTAGCATTTGTGACCTTTTAGAGATTTTTAAGATTTAGAAATCACCACATCATTTATTTTTGTCGCTATTTATATATTTATTGCATGTGTAGTCCTCTGTACTGCTCGTGCATGATCTATGGTGCATAAGAGAGACTCTCCTATTTGGGATCAGTACTTCTTACCTACTGTAAGAGGTGAGTGCTGCATCAGAACGTTGCCCGCTCACAAAAAAATAATGTGGCAGCATCCATCCCTAATCCCAGACGAACCTCAGGCATTATGGTTGAATTCTGGTGGGAATTTGGCTGGGAATGTGTTAAGGCAAGGGACGTACTTCTGCTGCTGTTGTAGATGAACTAAGGTGAAATTCTGCCATTTGTGGTCACCAGACAATTCATCTAAACAGTGCTAAACAGCCCAGGAAACGTGCTGTCACATGACTTCTTAGCAACCAGTAGCTCCATGTAGTTCTACAGAGAATATACAGGAAGAACAGGAAAATCCAGTCAGAAAAAAAGCTGAGAAATAATTTGATATTTCTTAGCCCAAGGCATAAATGGAGATTACGGTAAAGCTGTAGCAGAAACTATCCCTCTGAGCAAGGTCACCTTCTATAGGGTATGTCTGGAAGGATCTTGAAGAGGTGTGAAAACAGGCCAGGAGATAAGGAAACCACCTGCTAACTTTACTGATTCCAGTCTCCTTCCTACCATGTACTTGAATACACTTGCCTGGCCTGGAGATGAAGAAGATAGAAAGCAAAGAACATCGACTAACACAGATCCTGAGTAACATTACAAAATGAGGGGATGAGAAATGTGGATGACACTCTAGCAAGTGTCCACAAAGGATAGAACCCAAAGAAGGAGACACTGAAGTAACACAAAAAGGCCAGAAGAAATTACTGGTGAGGAAACCACTGGAAGTTAAATCTCTCGAAAGTGCAGAGTATTCAAAGCAACTGAGTGATCAGAAAAAGCAGGGGCAGAGCTACCTTTGAGGAGGAGGTGACAAGTGAGGGAAAAAGCCAAGGAGAGGAGACTCAGAGCAGAGCAGAGGGAGACTGTACACCCTACAAAGGAGGTAGAGAACCTCTGAAAATCCAGAGGCCATAGTGTTCTATTCCTCAAACTGCTCCTCTGTGACAGAGCTAGGAATTATGGCACTACCAGCCGTCATCAGGAAATTCTGTTCAGGCACTCCTAACCAGTCCTGCAGGGCACAGCTGCCCTTCTGGGAACATTTTTTCCCCCAGTTTTGGAGATAGTTGAGTGAACACTCCTAAAGTTCATTGTCATCTTTACGATAGCCTTGCCTGTAAAAATGACCTTTTTTGGTGTTATATCTCTGGCAAAATGCAGGAGATGTTGCTGTATGTTATAGGCTCAAGGACATTTTTCTCCTTGTGCCCAGCTAGGTTTGTTTAACTGATGAGTTTGAAAAACAAATAAAAAATGAGCTAGTGCTTAGGTTTAGAGAAGACTGAAATCTGCCCAGATGTATTATTTGTTCCAACAAAAAAGAGCATTGTGATAAAGACATACGTTGGTCCTGGGTCACATTTAGATCCTTTCTTTACAGTGTAGTATGCATTTCTAAGGGCATGGAACAGTTCTGCAGAATTCAGACAACAGAAAATCCAAGTACATCCAGTCCAGCTCTTGCAGACCGTCTGCTGGCCAGGTGACGGAACTACCACTTGCAACAGCCAAGCTCAGTATGATCACAGAGGTTCCTACCAAAGCACAGAATAGCTAAGAGTTTTCTTTGTTCCACTCCAAATTGAGGTCTGGGAGTTGTAAATTGAGAAATACATAATCTGGGAAGCATTTGTATTTACCTGCCTGCTGGGGCAGCCCCTCAAGCTGTGTATTTGAAGATGTTCCTAAGGTTTCTCTCCAGTTTCCTTCATGCTGACCATCTTGCCTGCTAGTCCTAGTGCCCCTGGTGAAGCAGTCTTGTTTCACTCCCCACTGATGGATCACGCTCCATCAAAGAGTGTGCCCTGTGAGCCCAGAATATGCCTGCCCACAGAGACTGGCCAGGTAATATACAACAAAGGTTCATAATGTGACCCATTACAGAAAAAGGTGCCTATTGTAACTCTTTTTTTTAACTTTCTTTCTTTTTTTTCTTTCTTTTTTCCCCTTTTTTTTTCTTTTTTTCTTTTTTTCATGAAGCTGCAACCCAGGAGTTTCTTTTCAGGAGGAGGCAACAACATAACTCAGAGCTTGCACAGCTAGAGCTACACTGAGATCACCTAAGTGCCCAAGCTTAAGCTCAAAGAGCTGTCTTCCAATTCCCATTGGTATTGACACTCCAGGACCCTTGTGGATCCTGTGGTTCTGAGAAACTGTAATACAAAGTGGCAGCTTTGAAACAGACATCTGCAGGTCACCTACTGAACAGATGTGCTCAGTCAGGGAGATAGAGCAGGGCCAAGGACACACTGCAAGTTTCCTGCTGACAAATGCACAGTACTCACTCAAAGCAGGCTGTAGGTAAAATCTGCACCTGTTTGAACCCAGAGCAATGAATATTATGGACTTTGCTGAAGAGAACTGGAGCTTTTTCATCTCTTGCACCAGCAAACAGGTCATCAAGCGCCTCAAAACTTTCTCAGCTTTCTTGACCCTACCCTCTTACTGCAGCAAAAATCAAATCTTGCTCTGCAATGGCACATTTGTTTGCTTCTGCAAATATCTCATACTCTATGGCACGGATTTTTGAGGTGTCCAATAGCCAGTGGCTGTAAAAGTGGCTTGGCTACTTCTTTAACAGGACAGGTATCTCCAGGTGCTCAGACTTGTTCCATCAGTAGTAGAGGATATGTTTCACATGTTTAAATCATGCGGAACAAAATGCACATCCTTCAAGAGCTGCTGAGGACTGCCAAGCTCTTTGTGTGTTCTACTGGAGCCAGTCATGATATGCTCAGCAGCAAGAGATTAGGTAGCAGGAGAGCACCGCAACGTGCAAGGGTGTCATTCACAAACATTTTTGCACTTCTTGATTTTTAACGAACCCTCTTCCAATTGCTACAGATTATGGTGAATTTATCTCCGGAATTTCAAGCCTGGTGTGGAGCTGAAGCCTGCCGTAAGGAGTGACGAAGTCTGTCGTCCACAGGTCACAGAGCGCTTGTAGGCAATGCAGCAGCATCGGAAACAGGCTGTCTGCTTTGTGCAGCACTCGCCTGTAGATGGCAGCAGTCCCACGTGGCACTGAAACAGGCTGAAGGAACGTTTTGCACCGGGTCAGCAAGCACAGTGAAAATTTCTGACCTTTGCAGATTTCAGGAATAGCAGGCCTCTGAGACCAGAAGAAATGGAAAAGTCGTCTCTAGGGAGAAGAGCGTCAGGCTGAAGAACACTGAAGCAAACTGGAAAGACACAAGACACATGGAGCATAATAAGAAGGCGACCAGTAGTAGTCAGCATGGATTTGTGGAGGGGAACTGCTGCTGAGTCTGTCTGAAACCTCCTGCGATTAGATGGCTGGTTTGATGGGTGAAAGGAGAGCAACTAATATCTGTTCTCTTGATGTGAATAGAGCTTGAACACTCTGGTAACATCACCATTGAGATATCGATGAGGTATGGGGTAGAGCCTCAGAGTGTTTAGGTGCACAAAGTCCAGCTGGAGGACAGTCGATAGGGATGTGCCCAGGGGCATTTATCTTCTCTGTGGCTGTCAGGCAAATCTCTAGTAACTGGAAAAAGGGAAACATCACTCCTACTTCCAAGAAAAGGAGAAAGGAGGACCCAGGGAACTATAGGTCAGTGAGCCTCATCTCTGTGCCTGGGAAGATCATGAAACAGATCCTCCTAGAAGAGATGTTAAGGCACCTGCAAGATGAAGTGATCTGAGACAGCCAGCATGGCTTCACCGAGGGCAGATCCTATGAAGAAAGGCTGAGGGAGCTGGGCTGGTACCTCAGAGGGTTGTGCAGCTATTCAGAGGCAACAGGACAGGTCTGAGAAATGGGTGAAGATAAAGCTCCTGCTCAGCAAGGGAAGTGCAATGTCTTGCCCCCAGGGAGGAACAAGCCCAGGCACCAGCACCCTGGTGGAGGCAAACCAACCTGCTGGAAAGCAGCTTGGCAGAGAAAGGAGTGGTAGGTACCAGGCTGTAGCCATGCACAGAACAACCCCACAGCCTCTGGGGAGGAGTGATGCCAGCTGGTGGAAGGAGGTGATGCTTCCTCTCCGCTCAGCACAGGCAAGGCCACTCGGTCCTGTTCTTGGCGACGCAGTGCAGGAGAAACGTGGACACACTGGAAGGAGCCCAGCCAGAGGCACGAAGATGATGAAGGGACTGGAGCATCCCTCATAGGCTAAGACAGCTGGGGCTGCGTTGCTTAGAGAAGGCCGGAGGGGATCCTGGGAACGCGTACCGACGGGGAAAGGGTGCAAAGACTCCGGGTTTTTCCCCGGTTCGGGTCACCCCTCGCAGCCAGCGACAGACGGGCCGCTTCGCCAATCACAAAAATCCGCCGCTCTGCGTCGGCGCGGCGCAGCGCAGGCTGTTGCTAGGCAGACGTGCTGGGCTGGCCCAATGGGAGCGGCGCGCTGCGGCCGGGCCCGGGCGCAGGCGGCGGCGGGAGCGGGAGCAGAGCGGCTGGGGCCCGGCGCTCACCATGCCCTACAAGCTGAAGAAGGAGAAGGTGCGGCGGGCGGGAGGGCGAGCTGCGGGGACGTTCCTCGGGCGTGCGGCCCCCTCGCCGCTCCTTCCCCGTCTCCCTCCATCCTCGCCGCGGCCTTCCTTCGGCGCGGCCGTTGGGCGGGGGCGCGCGCGGGGCTGCGGCCGGCAGGGGGCGGGGGCGCGCGCGGCGGGGCGGGCGGGGCGCCTGGTGCAGGAGGGCGGCGGAGGCGCGCGCGGGGGGCGGCGGTGCCCCCCCACACCCTCATCCCCACCCCGTCCTCGACACCCCCCCATCCCGCGGAGATGCCTTCGGTAGGAGAGGTACGCTGCCCCGGTAGAGGCCTCGGAACGGGCCGCGGGGTGCCCTTCCTAGGGGAGGAGGTACAAAGGCGGCGCGGGGCCGCGGTGTCGGGGCGCGCAGGGCGAACGTTTCGCTTTTTCGGCCTTTCAGGAGTCTCCGAAGTCGGCCAAAAGCACCACAAAGCCCGGCGGCGGCAGCGGGAAGGATGGCGGGGCTGAGAATTCGGAAGAGGTAAGGCTTCCGCCTCACACGGCGCTGTCCCCGCGTTCCTGCATGGGAGGATCCCTCCCGGATCCGTGGGGTCGGAGCAGAGAACGGCAAAGGCGAAAGTTAGCACCAAGTTAGTGCCCCTCGAGCTGCGGCCCGAGGGGAGCGACGGAGGAGTCACGGCGAGCCTCCTGTCGTGCAGCCCTGCAGAAAGGCCTGGCACAAAGCTGGGGGCAGTGTGGTGAAGCTGGCTGCAGGGAGAGACATGGCAGCCTCTGAGGTGACTGCTGTGTGGCCTCGTCTCGAGCGCTGCGTTGCAGCTATGGGAGCCACGATGTAAGCTATAAAACATCAGCCTCCAAAGGAGGGATATGAAGGTGGGGAAGGGTCTAGAGGCCAAGATGAATAAGGAGCAGCTGAGGCCCTTGGTTTACTCAACACAGAGCAGAGGAGCTGAGGGAGGCCTCATGGCAGCCTGCAGCTCCTCGTAGGGAGCAGAGGGCAGTGTGAAGCTCTGCTCTTTGGAGACAGCGGCAGGGTGCAAGAGAATGGTGTGGAGCTGTGTCAGGGGAGAGCAGGTGGGGGTGAGGGAAAGGTTGCACCCCAGAGGGCGGTGGGCATGGCAGAGGCTGTGCAGGGCAGTGGGCACAGCCCTGATGCTGGAGCTCAGGGTGCACTGGGACACCGCTCTGACACTGGGGCTGAGTGGTCCTGTGTGGAGCTAGGAGTTGGATTCAATTATCCTTGTGGATCCTTTCCCTCTGGGGATATTCTATGAGTCAATGAGAGGAGCCATTGCTCCTAGGGAGGAGGAGGCCTGACAGACAGGAGCAGTTGCATTGCTCCTGTCAGAGCAAAGCACAATCAACTCTGTTGTCACCTGGTGTCAGAGTGGGAGAGTAGTGAGGAGTCAGAGAAAAGGAGCTTGTTCTTGAAAGGCATTTTCTGGGGGAGTGAGGCTGCGAAATAATTGCTAGGACACCTCAAAGAATAGGGATAAAGTGCTAGAGATGAAGTGATTCTTCTTTGTATAACTGCTTCATTTCTGAGCTCAGCATTACTCACAAAAAGGCACAATCTGTATTCCTAACTATGCAGAGTCTCATTCTCAATTTTGATGTTGCCAATCTGGATGTATTAGGATGGCTTCAGCAGAACGTGATAACATGAAAAGCTGTATAAGAACTAACAAAAATTTGGGTCAGCTGGAGCTTTTCTGGCAGACTTGGGTCTGTCCAGCACCCAAACAGTGTGCCTGTGGGTTCTGAGACTTGGCTTGGAAGTGCATTGTATGCGTGTCCAACAAAGGATGCATGCGTATGTATGGTGGTATGGTTTTTGTTTTGTTTCTTTGTAATTCTGCAGTTTGGCAAACAAGCTGTGTCACTTCTACGTCCACAGAAGCCTGTGTACTCATGTCTTGTTTGGAATGTTTTGCACTTATGATTTGGAGGATTGGGTATGGGAGATGTCAGGCTAATGAAGACCTGGAAGACTTCCGTGGTTCATGGGAACATCATCGTCCAAATAAGGTTACTTTAGGGTCTCCTTCAAAGCATGGACCTGTGTTGCACAGCCTCAAAAATTATCCCTACTACAGCCAATCCAGTTCAAGGTTCAAGCCGTGCTCATGCCTAACCTGCCTTGTAGCCAGCAGAAAACCAGCTGAGTTTGTTTGCCTTGGAGCTGGTGGCAATTTTGTAGATTCCTCTTTGTATATCCCATCCCTGTCTTGGCCTCTGCCTGTTTTATTTTGTGTATACAGCTACAAACGGCTTGCTTGAGGGCTGTCTGCTGATTTAACAAGTGAGGGAACGCCTAGTTTGGCATCATGGGGTCAGGCTCACCTTTTATTTATTTGGTACTCTTTGTTTGTTGAGTTCCCATCTCTAGGAAGAAGAAGGAAGCCTGAATCTTGCAATGTAAAGGTGATGGAGAGCCACCAAAGCCAGAGCACTGTGATGTCCCCATCCAAACCCATGGTGTGTGGCTGTGTTTCCTGGTAACGAGTGCTGCAGCCAGAGAGGGAGAGTTAGTTACAAGTTTTCTTCCATTACCTGAAATGGCACATAATGTATGGTTGTTCCTGGCCACGGGAGAAACTTAGAAGAGATGTGTCTAACCTTCCCTCCCATAAAACATACCCAGCCACTTCCGCATACCCCAGACAAAATCCAGCCCTTCTTTAGGATGGAAGGCTGGGTCTCCTTTGATCATAGGAACAGAGAGCAGAAAGGAGACACCTCTCCAATGTGCTGCTGCCACAGGTCTCCTCTCCATTTCCCTGTTGAGTTTGTGGTGAAGTTTGTTCTCTCTTGGTGCTTTGCTGTCTCGGGACTGCTCTGCTGCAGAATGGAAGAGAGCTTTTTGCTTGATGAGAAGAAATGTATACCAGTTTGAATGCAATTTTCCTGCTCTTCAAGAAGCACAGAAAGGTATTTCTGCTTTAATACTGGGGTAAGGAACTTGGTCTGTGCGCTAGGAGCTGGACTTGTTTCTTGTGTTGGAAGCAGGAGGGGCTTTTGTCCTTACGAAACACATGGAGCAGTATTGTGTGGTAGGAGTTGATGGAGTCTCTTGACTTGTGAATTCTTCCGCGGGGTTATGGTTGTTTGGTTACCTTTCTGAAGGGGCGCTGAACAGAATTGTCAACTTTGTGTCTCAGTAGATCAAATGTTTGATGGACTTGCAGCAGGAGAACATTATTTGGGCAGTTCTTCCAGCATGCTTTTTCTTCCTTTGCGCTGTGCTGCAGGGAGCAGAGGAGATCTCACAGTCCTCATTTATCCTGGTACCAGAAAGCTGTGACTTGTTCTGCAGACAAGTTGTCCAGCTGGTGGAATGAGTAAAGCTCTTTGAAGAGCAGCTCTCCTTTGACAGACTGGAGCGAGTGCGGCAGACTGGGACCTCCTGTGAGGATCTTTGTGGAGGGAGAAGAAGAGGGAAGGAAGCCTGTAGTGTTTTATTCTTCACAGCAAAGGAGTTGTTTGTGGAGCTGAGGTGGAGGGGCAGGGGCATTCAAAAGCAGGTAGGTCCCCACCAGAGGTGGTGTTTGAACTACCTATAGGGGGTAGTGCAGTGCTCTGTTGGTGAAAGTGGCTGAGGTGATGAGGCAGCATAGCTTGGCCAGTCCCTGGCATTAGAGAAGCATAATTTGCTCCAGAAGAGTTTGGAGCAGTGGAAGAAAATGTGAGAGCAGAGAGTGGGAAATAAAAGATTTTTTTAGATCGTTCCCTGTGGAACATGACGAAGGTATGAACGGAGAGAATTTCTGTGTAGCTATTTAAGGAGAAAAAAGAAATAGAAGAGCACATGTCAGAGTGGATGAGAGGATGATAAAGAGTTACTCTTGGCCAGAAAACCTGGGAGAGGCAGCTGGGTGGTGAGGAGAGTTAATGACCTGGAAGTGAGAGCAGGGATTAGCAGCAGCAGTAAAGAGGGGTTGCTTTGCAGCCTCAAGGACAGCTTGGAGCCTCACTGATGAGATGCACAGCTCTGGGAGAGGGTGCTCCTTTTCACTGAGCTGCTGTATTACGTGTTTTGCAGATATCTCCATGGGGCTTGTTACTGCAGTACCTGGAGCTCATTATTCAGACATAAGCGTTACAGTGTGTTGGTGTTACTTCTGAGACAGGGAGGTTGATTTTAATAGGGGAAGCCGTGTAACAACAGACAAAGAACAGGTACTGACTTGAGGGATGGGAAGGGAAGAGTCATCTGAGGAGGAGGAGGAGCTGAGAGCAGATCTGGGCTGGAAGCTTAGCAAGCGGGGGATGCTCAAGGGACCAGTGAGGCAGAAGGGCTTTCCGAGTGGCGATACACCCAGCTGCAGTGGGAGTGCCTGCAGAGGTGAGGTCATGGATGGGAAGGAGAACAGAACAGAGGCTGACGCTGCGCTCAGAGTGGCTGGGAGAAGAGCATCTCCTGGAGCCCGGAGTGAATAGAAATGGCACAGAGCGGGCCCAGGGCCCGAGGCTCATTGACTTGTACTGGCAAGCTCTTAGCAGGGAGGAGAGACGGTGGGAACTAACAGGGAGGAAATGCCAGGCAGCTGGGGAGCCGGTGCCTCGGGGAGCTCAGATGTGCTTGTGATTGGGGCTGGCCCCTCCTGCTGGCAGAGCAGCCCGCTCCACTGCAGCGGGAAAGGTGGGGCTGCTGCACCGCGCTTGGGCAAACTGCTTTGTGCTGTTCCCTGCTCGCTCCAGCACACATGGCTCACAAACAGCATCTCTCCGAGCGGCTGTGGAGGTGTCAGGAGTGGGGCTGAAGCCTGGTTTGATGTGCTTGTGTTGGTCAGCTGATGCTGATGTCAGGGAAACTGTGAGGTTGATACCTGGTGTTAAGGGAGAAGCTTTGTTTTAGCAGTCTGGTATGTTCCCAAGGATAAAACTGTGTTAAAGAAGCTTGTAACAAGCCTCTCTTCTCCTGATTCATGTTACCAAAGTAGGGGGATGTCGAAGGCAGAAGGATGGTGGGCCTGATGCAGGAAGAGCCTCCTGAAAACAAGATTTCAGACCGATGCCATGACATCAATGTAGAAGTAATCAATGCTAAAACCCTTTGAGTGCTGCAGCATAAGAATGTATCCGGCCTTCCCCGTCACTGGGTTTTCTCTAGGAAATTTTATGTGATACTTGCATATATCCATTTTATAAAGAACAGTTGAAGCTGTGTTTTGTTTCTCTCCGTGCCAGATATGGAAGACTAGAAGCTAGTGGCAGTGACTTTTCCAGTCTCCCTAGTGAAGGGGACATGGCTGTAGACTGTTGGCCTGCAGTACACATACCATGGTGGGAACATGTGGCGTTGCTGAGTGTGTGGGGAATGTACAGACACGTTCTGTCAGCCTGAGATGTCTTCTAGCAGGACCCATAGGTTCTTCTTCCCTGAGTGTTACCTGTAAGGTTATTGATGCACCTTTTGTCTCTCTCTGTACCGCCTTTCCCCTGTAGTGGCTCAGCATTCATAATCTGCCCTTCTTCCCTGTGGAAGGAGGGTGATCCAGGTTCCCCACGATGCAGGTGCTCTTCTTGCACAGTGACGCTGTGCTGCACCTCCTTGGAAAATGTGAGGACTCAGTTCAGGGCAAGTACTGTTCCTGTCTTGGGTAAGCTGCAGGTAAGCCAATCCTCACAGGGAAGTAGTGACTGTATCTTGTTTGGAGGAGAGCTCAGATAAGCCTCTGCACTGCTGGTGCTTTCCCCCAAAATACTCGTTGGCATTCTGGGGAGAAATGGGAACATTGTGCTCTCCCAGCAAGTCTGGAGTACGCTGACTTCTTTCTTGAGGTGTTTCCCTCTTCCATGAGTTTTCAATGAGTTGCATCAGTGTGATGTTACTGAGTCAGATAATAACCACTAAGGCTGGAGTGGGAGTCAAACCAGCAGAACTTCAGCCAGAACAGAGCTGAGCTGAGAAAGCGCTGGCTTGAGTTTCCAGTTACCTGCTAAAAATAAGGAAAGCGGCTCTAAGTTCTTTTTAAGAGGCACCAAGTTGAGAGGACATCTCTACACAAGAGTTTGTATCAGTAAGCTCTTATAACTTGTTGCAAGACCTGGCCTTGCTTTCCATATCTGTAGCACCGCACGTGCTGGAAAGCTCTGATGCCTTCATGGTACCTCACAGGCATGAGCAGAACCGATGTACGCTTTGCAGATAGCGCTGCCCGTGCAGCCAGCTGACACACAGCCTCACAGAAGTGGATGAGGTGTGCTGAAATGCAAGTGCAATGGTGCAAATGTGCCCAGTTTCTTCAGTCCAAGAAGATACTGACCGTGTCTTATTGCCTGTGAGCCTTGTAGGTAAAAGCTTGTGAGTTTTGTTTGACTTTCTTTTCCATCACAGGCCCAGCAGCCGCAGCAGCAGCCTCAGCAGCAGCAACAACAAACAACTTCGAATAAACGCCCCAGTAACAGCGCTCCCCCGCCAACCCAGCTAAATAAGATCAAGTACTCAGGGGGACCCCAGATTGTGAAGAAGGAGCGTCGACACAGCTCTTCTCGCTTCAATCTGAGCAAAAACAGGGAACTGCAAAAGCTTCCAGCCCTTAAAGGTACAGAAACTGTTAGCAACCTTCCTAACAAGCTGTGCTTTCTCCAGACGGAAGAGCATGAGGGTTCTTTCCAGGGTGACCCTGGTAGTCTCCTGCCAGCAGTGCTGTAGGGATGACTCTGGGAAAGGTGCTTGATGTGGCAGCAGGTTGCGAATTGATGAATAGCCTGAAAGAGAATATTCTATATGAACTTGATTATTTGCTTTCCCATTTGAAGCAGTTGAAGCCCTGGTGCTTACATTTATTTGAGGTTGCTTCAGATTCTTCAGCAGTTTGTGTGGGAGGGTGGTAAAGTGTGGAGAACTTAGTAGAGGCTGCTCTTGGCTCCTGCAGTCACCTGTTCCTGGGAGAATACCAGACCACCTTCTCCTCCTCAAGTTTCCATTGCAAGTTATGATAGTGCTGTTGAACTTGCCTACGTTGGGGCAATTATCCAGCATTAGCAGTTAGTATCCATAATGGTGCAATTAAAGGTGCCTTAAGTAGAGACATGGAGAAAGTGTTGTCAGCAGTCACTCAACCAGGCCTGTTGCTGACACTGCTCACAGAAACAGCCTTTTAGGAAAGGTGGCTGTCTGATAGTTCAGTTAGTCTATGAAGGAAGCTCATAAAGTGAGTTTCTTTTCCACAGTAGCTTGCAATGGGAAGGGATTGATGCTTAGTAGATCAGACGTCTGCACAGTGTTTGAAATCGCCAGATGGAATAGTTGTTCTTTACCTCCATTGTCCCAGTCTCCATATTAGGGGTTACTCTCCCTCCTACCACACCAGCTCAAGGGGGGCTGTGACTAAAGAAGGGAATGCATGCTTGGGGGTGAACCATGCTGATTCCTAGGCGAACCAGATAGATGCTTTGCCTACCTCGGAGGTCTGACAATCCCTATTTTCTCTTCCAGATGCTCCTCCACATGAGCGAGAAGAGCTTTTCATCCAGAAGCTGCGGCAATGCTGTGTGCTTTTTGACTTCATCTCTGACCCCCTCAGTGACCTGAAATTCAAGGAGGTGAAGCGAGCAGGTCTCAATGAAATGGTAGAATACATCACACACAACCGTGATGTCGTCACTGAGGCCATCTATCCTGAAGCTGTTATTATGGTAGGGCATGGGGCCAGCGTGTGTGTGCTTGTTTGCCAAATAAATGGGGACTGTTCAGATGCGTGTGCTTTTGGGAGGGAGGGAAGAGAAAGAAAAACAGATTTGTCAGAGAGGAGTGTGACCTCAATCTTTCCCATCCTTTGTAAAGAGAGGTGGAAGTTTTTTTCCCTGGCACGAACTTCACTTGTGAAGTTTATTTGTAATCTGTAACCCTGCGGCCTCTAGGAGGAAAGCTTTTTGCCGTGGTAAATGTGTTGCTGTGCAGTGAGGGATTTGCTGCAGGAGGCCCATCGTAAGAGTAGCGATGTCGTTCATTGTCCTTTTTGCTGACCTCAGTTTTCAGTGAACCTCTTCCGGACACTTCCGCCATCATCCAATCCCACAGGAGCGGAGTTTGACCCTGAGGAAGATGAGCCTACATTAGAGGCTGCCTGGCCACACCTACAGGTGAGGAGAAGGAAGGTATAGATCTGTGAAGCTGAGGGTCTGTGTCGTCTGGATGCCTGCCCCAGTAAGTGAGGGTTGCTGTGTGCTAGGATAGGGAAGGGCCAGGCCATGGGTGAGAAGCAGCATGTAGGCAATGCAGGCGATAGGAGCATTCTGGAAACAAGCTGATGGCTCTGTACAGCGTTCACCTGCAGGTGGCTGTATTCTCATGTGGCACTGAGGTAGGCTGGAACACTTTGCTGGGAGTAAAGGGAATTGTGCCATATTGTCTCTGTAAGAAGCATTTCCCCACAATGATAATTCCAATCCTGATGGTTCAAGAGCTCTCATCCTCTAGGCTTCAGCAGTATTGGAGACAGCACCCTTGTCTGTTTTGGCACTCCTCCTTGCCATGGTCTCTCGGAGGCATGTAGAGGAGTAGGAGTGCTTGTTGCCACAGCAAAACCTATGCTAGCACCTGCTAACACATCTCTTTTATATTTATGTAACACAGTTGCAATAACTGGGAGCAAATGTGACCAGAAAAAAATGGGGAACAGGAGTGGAAGAAGAAGAAAAGGGGCTGAGGATTTCTTCAGTAAGCTGTGTCCCGAGAAATAGTTTAAGACAAATTAGGTGAAAAGCGTTATGAAGGCAAGAACAAACATGATTAATAGAGCTCAGAAGTGTAAGTCAGGAGGTAAGTTTATAAGAGTCTCCTCAGACACTTGCCGGGAGACATGCAGTCAATCTGACAAAGGCAGAGCAAGAGCTAGTCGCTGCAGGATGAGGCAAAAATACAGAGGACATAAAGTGCAGTTCTGCAGCAGTGGTTAATCACTTCTCACTGCTCTGGTTGACGTAGGGATGTGAGTGTTGACAGGAGTGGTATTTCCTCAGCACCAGTGTGCTGCAAATGATAGGAAGCATTTATTTCTTAGAACTAAGTCAGCAGCAGGCAGCACAGGCCTGTGGCAAGAGGTCCACTGCTGAGTTTTCATCATGACCTCGGGTTTTTTTGTGCTGCTGTTCTTGGCAGCTCAGTTTCACCTGTGATTGGGTGGCCCCACAGCTCCTTCAGTTGGAACCTGGGGATATGAGGCTCTAGTTTGGCCTGGTCGTCCCTCAGAGGCACTCTCTCTTGACAGGTTCTGCCTTTGGGTAATCTTGCCAGTCTAGGGCAGCAGTAGCACTGGAGGTTTCAACACTAGCAGCCTTCTGAAAGCAAGCTGCTGTTCTTGTGGGATTGTGACACAGCATGAATCTCACGTGGTTTAGTGGAGTCAATCCAAATTTGAAGCCAGTTCCCAGGGATCAGAGGACACAGTATTTTCCTGGGGTCCATTTCATGTCTCTTTTGTTCTTCCTCAGTATGTCTCAAGGGCTTCCAAGAAGAGAAGGCTCTGGAGGGACCTTATAGTGTGGCCTTCTAGTACCTAAAGAGTGCGTACAGGAATGCTGGGAAAGGACTTTCTGTGGAGGCATGTAGCAACAGGACAAGGGGAGGTGTCTTTAAACTGGAAGGGGTAGATTTAGGCTAGATATTGGGAAGAAATTTTTTGCTGTGAGGTTGGTGAGACCCTGGAATAGGTTGCTCAGAGGCATTCAGTGCCAGACTGGATAGGGCTGTGAGCAGCCTGGTCTAGTGGGAGGTGTCCTTGCCTATAGCAGGGAGTTGGAAGTAGATGATCTTAAAAGTCTCTTCCAACCCAAACCATTCTATTCTATGATGCTAATAAACCTAAGCTTTTGTCTTCTCTTCTGGAAGTTTCTGTTCTCTGTAGAGGTGGGGACTGAAGCTAGAAGATTTTCCCAGGCTTAGTGTCTTGATCTGAGTAGGTGGCTTTTGTCTTTGGCAGGACCTGAAATGATGAGGTCTCATGCAGACTTGGGCAGTTATGTGCCACTGCTCCATAGCCCATTATAGTGAGGGCAGCTGAATCGGTGTCAGTGGGTGAGGAAATGTGTATTCCTGTGTTTTCTGTGCCCCCACTTAGGCTTTCCAGCCTTCTTTCAAGCCACTAAGGAGATGGAAAACATGTAAAACGTGAAATAAACAGTGATGAGGAAATGAGGAGGATTTCTAAGCGATCTCTTTTTCCTCCTGCAGCTGGTGTACGAGTTCTTCCTCAGGTTCTTGGAGTCCCCTGATTTTCAACCAAATATAGCGAAGAAATACATTGACCAGAAGTTTGTACTGTCTGTAAGTAATCATAGCCCCTGCCACTGTGCAGCACCTTTGTGAAGGACATGCAGTAGACTTTGGCCGAAGTTTTATGCAAATAGTCCAGTTTAATCAGGAAATATTAGATAATTAAAGTTTTCTTTCTTCTTATGTCTTTTCTTGAAAGAGCAGCTAGAGCTATCAGAGCTGGGCGAGAGGGCATGCAAGCTATAGTCTCTGGAATTTGTTATCATTGGTGGGAGAGGGGCAGTGGGGGCCTTGCAGGAGGAGCATGGGAACACACTGCTTTGGAGAGTGTCCAGGCCATTGCTGTGCTTTAGAAGATGAATGCTGATGGTACCAACTTGTGGCTAGGGGGGTGGCCACTGTGCTCAAGGTGCTGAAGGCATCTCTTGACTGGAGGAGCCGCATTTGCTGAGTAGGAGCAGTGCCTAGTATTGCTCATAGCCTCATCCAGGCAGTCGTGTGTGCAGACACTGAATTTCTGTCCCCACAGCTGCTGGATCTCTTTGACAGTGAAGACCCCAGAGAACGTGACTTCCTAAAGACTATTCTGCACAGGATCTATGGGAAGTTCCTGGGTCTGCGAGCGTATGTGAGACGGCAGATCAACAATATATTTTACAGGTGAGGTGTTTCCTAGTGCCACTGGCTTGATGAATGGTTGGTACAACACAGTGAGAGCGATTCTGAGCATTGGACTGTCCCTAATCTAGATTTGAATTAGCCAAATAACTTGGTTATATCATTCTGTTTTGGTATGGACAGCACTGGCCTGTGCCTAAGAGCAGCAGACGTTTGGTAGTGCTGTCTTCAGCATACATAGCAAATGTTGGGATTGGTGAATGTTAGCTTCTCTGAAGTTGTGTTGATCAGGGAGCAGTGAATAGACTATTTGCCTCCATCTTTCATATCTTGAACTGTTTTCTAGAAGAATACCCTTCCCCACTGTTTCTCCTTCCTTTTCTTTATCAGACTGGATCCAGTGTTTGGCAATGACATTCTTCTCTCTTCAGGTTCATCTATGAAACAGAGCATCACAATGGGATTGCAGAACTTCTGGAGATCCTAGGAAGGTAAAGATGGTCTTGTAAGTCCCGGAGGATTCACAGTGCATGACATGTCCTAGCTCAGTGTGCTGTGTGAGCTAGTAGTGCCCTCTGCCAGCTGGTGTCTGCTATCTTCAGAGAATCTCTGGTGAAGCACACAGTGCTTTCCATCCTGCTGACAAATGCAGTGATAGTTTTCCCCACATCCGTCTGCTCTTCTTTTGAGTTTGAGCCCAGCCACACTTACTGCCTGCTGAGGCAAAAGAGCTTCTCACAGCCTTGAGAAACTGTAGCAGTGGGCAGCCTCCTCCATGGCTTTCACTGCCCTTCAGCAGAAGCAGCCCTCTTACGCTGCTGTTATTCTGTTCTGTTGAAGCTGAGCCTTGATGGCTGGGCTACCTCTGTGCTGGACTTCCCCAGAGGTTCTGTTAAATTGTGTCTGAAGGTTCCTGGGCTTATTCTGGCACCGAAAGCTGTGGAGCCTTGGCTCCTTTAGAGGCTTTCCCTGCCATGCCTGATAAGGAAGCATGCTTTCACAGGTATGTTTTGCAAGGTGGGGCCCCAGCAACTGTACTTCCAGTGGTAGGTGTTCTCTCCAGTTATTAATGAAAGCTAAGGCATCTCACTTATTCTTCTGTGGTGAGACATACTGTGTTTCTGCTGGATAAAGAAATTAATGAGATTCTTGTTTCTTTTCAGCATAATCAATGGGTTTGCTCTGCCTCTGAAGGAAGAGCACAAAATGTTCCTCATCAGGGTCTTGTTACCACTGCACAAAGTGAAATCTCTCAGCGTCTACCACCCACAGGTGAGAAGTGCTTCAAGTCTTCAGGGCAGAATGCAATTCTTGCAGTAGTGCTTATGCAGGTTTGCTTGTAGCTGTTCTTCAGGCTGCATTACTCTATTACATGACCTTCTTGCTGTAAGATGTTTGGGGCTTTTCACTGGCTCTTTACTGTGGTGATTTGTCCCAGCCTTGCAGTGTCTGGGCCTGTGTGCATTATGAGTGTGCTTTTTTGGCACTGGCTGATAGGAAGGTATCCTCCACTTCCTGCTGACTTAATGCTCTGACCTGCTTTGCCTCTCTGTGATGGAAGATTGTGAAATATTGGTGCATTACTGAAACGAGGGGTAAAATTCAGAGCTCCATTCATCAGCCTCTGTATGTGATGTGTCAGCTGTTAGTCATTGCTGAGATATGCAAATGGTTTGGAGTGCTGGACTGCTAGACTGGCATAGAGATTAATTTCTTGCCATTTAGAAGTCATAAGAGAAGAGAAGCATGGAGATTAGGACTTGAGCTTGGAAGCGAAAAATGGATGCTGAACAGTGATGTCTGTTCTCCCAGCCTTGTTTTTACTGGTTTGCTCCTTGTCGTGTGTGGCTGTGCTTGCATTAGAGTGCATTAGCTGTGGGCTGCTCTAGGTGACTCATGTTATTCTCTAAGGTTGCATGCACTCACTAAGCTCAGGCCCTATCTAGTCTTAAGGCCCACTTGCCATCAGAAGAATTGGGGCTGACTTAATACAGTCTGATAGCGTTAGGACGAGGGGGGATGTCTTTAACCTAAAAGAGGCAAGGCTTAGGTTAGATATGAAGAAGTTTTTTACTCAGAGGATGATGGGGCACTGGAACAGGTTGTCCAGAGAGGTTATGGGTGGAGACATTCAAGGTTGGGTTGGATGGGATCCTGGGCAGCCAAATTTAGTGGTTGACAAACCTGCCCACAGCACGAGGGTTGGAATTAAATGATCTTTGAGATCCCCTCCAACATAAGTCATTATGTGATTACAACTGGATTCATTTGGAGCTGCAGCTGTCTGCTTGTCACACACACTGTGGAGGGCCTAACGTTACTTCCAGTTGTGGGTGGTGGTGTTGCTTGTATCTCCAGTAGACTTGAGGAAGCTCTAACTTTGCCATGTGTTCTCCTGCAGTTGGCATACTGTGTTGTACAGTTCTTGGAGAAAGACAGCAGCTTGACAGAGCCGGTGAGTAACCTTTCTAAACCTCTGCATGACAGTCAAGTCCCCAAAGCTTCACAGCTTCCTTAGGGCTCAGAAAGTGTGAAAAGAGGCTGCAGAGACCAGGGAGGATGTAGATTATTTACCGAACTTGCTTGGCACCTTATGGGCAAAATGGACGGTGCTGCTCATGTGCAGGCCTTTCTGAAAGCTTCAGGAACATGGCTGAAGTTTGCCTTTGTGCTTCAGATCTATACCAAGCATCCTTTCAGGGCAGAGCCAGTGATAGATTCTGCAGAGACAAAACAAATAGCTTTCTGACACCTGGTGGAGCCAGCGTGAACTCACAAAGACTTTGAAATAGTAAGAGTTCAGCCTGCCAGAGTTGGCTGAAAAACTGTCAGAATGAGGTTATAAACCTGGAACCCGGAAGACTACTTAGGCAAGCCCCTGTTTCTTGATGAAAGTATTCTTCCTGCTCTAGCATCAGTATGCTAACTCCACAGCATTAAGTCACAGTGCAGAGACATATGCCTTCAGGATGTAGTGCTGTTGAGACAGCAAGTTCTAAAATGTGTGAGCAGTGGGTCCCTCACGTATTCCAGTTACTGGCTACGCAGGCATGCAGTGTTAGCCAGTCTGTATGCTGGTTTGGCAGGGGGTTGGCAAGAGACAAATGTTTCTCCACCTACTGCAGGCCAGGAAATGTCTTCTACAGAGCTGAGCTTCACAACCTCAAAACAGCAGATGGCCATGTGCTTGTGTCATTGTAGCAGGGAGCACTAGAAAGTGTGAGCATTTTAATGAGTAACACTAGCTTGAGGTCGTTCTGTTCTTTGGCTGAAATGTGTGTGTTTTTGGTGCTCAATGGAAGCTGGTCAGCTTTCTGGCTCTGCAGCTCTGATGCTGGAATGCTGAAACAGATCTTGCTTTTTTCTTTTCTTCCTTTTTAAATGTAGGACCTCAGTTTTCTGTGTTCCTAAAAGCCTGCTCTGAAACAAATTGTGTAAAGTACCTTCTTGATCATGCTGAATACTTCCTGTAGATTAAATCCAGCCTAGCAGCCTCCTGTCAAAGCACTCACTGTAGGGTGAGGGATAAGAGAGAAATGGGAAAGTCTGTCAATAATTCCAAGATTCATTCTGAAGCTTATTCAAATAATAAAGCTCATCACTGCTTGCTTAGCTGGTGATCCGTGGATTAGAGACACAGCTCTGGTTTGTTGTCAGTGGGCCATTGCATAGGGTCCTTACCATATAGACTTGTTGAAACATCCTCCTTATGAATGTTTTTAATAGTCTCCTGGTGTTACTGGGGTTATTGAAGTCTGGGGTTGTGCCCCAGCAAGGCCCTGACTGCAGTAGAAGATGTTGCCATCAATGCTGAAAGGAGCCCAGGTCTTACTAGGTCTGCAGTCACTTAACGTGTGCCACCCAAACCGTGCTCAGTAAGGCTGAGCGTGGTAGCTCTTACATTACAGCAGCCTGAATGATTGCCAGGTGAGCAAGACTTCAGGTGTGCTAAGTAATAGTGAACACAGACTCAGCACACCTTGCACCACCTTAGCTGTAGGAGAAACTCTCTGAGTCACTGGAGCTGACTTTTGCCTCAATAGCAGACCTGAGTGACAACAAATGCTGAGGATACCAAGCTGCTACTTGAGCCTGGAGTTGGTGGCTCAGATGTTCCTCATCTTGCTGTTGCTTTGCCTACTGCTGTCCTTGTGCTGGGGTGAAATTTCCCTCATGCGTTTGCTTCAGGATCAGATTGCTGAAGTACAGAGTTTAGAATAGTAGCTCTTACCAGGAAATGGCTGTTTCTGTTGTCTGTAGAGTTAGTGCACAGTTAGCATTCCTGTAAACCCCATACTGATGGCTCCAGCTGAGTGAAGGTCTGCAAGATCATGGATTCTGTCTTTGACAGTACGTAGAAGTAGGTGGTTAGGCAAGGAAGTGATATTAATAAATGAAGTGGGATATAGCTCTATATTCCCCTAGTGTATTCCTCCACCATCTTGTAAGCAATAGTTTTCTCAGACAGAAGTTGCATCTATATTGTCATATTTCATCATCATCATTAGGTTTAGCCTCCATAAACTTATCTGCTCCTTTCTGGAACAGTCTGGACTCTAGACAAAAGTCCTCAAGAACGAGCTCTGTAATCCAGCTACCTTTGTTTGTAATGGTATTTCCTTTTGCTCGCCCTCAATGTGGCCATTGCAGTATTTGTTGGGTACTTTCTAGTGCTCAAGCTCTGTGGTATATTAAATAACGATTCCTTCATCACCTTCCCCGTAGCATTTCTGATTTTACTGGTAGATTTTTCATTGTTGCTCTGCGCCATCTGGCATCCCCTGCCCACTCTGAGTCGATCCTTCCTTGTTAAAGTGAGCTGGAGGAAGAAGTAGTTCTAAGCTTTGTGCTGGTAGTACCAAATGTTAGCATCCTGGGCAGCACTGCTGTCTTGTATGCAACTTGGCAGAGTTTGTGCTTTTCTCTTCCTTCTTCCCTGGTAACTCACCCTCACTCTCTGAGAGTGTCGTTATTTCTGTTACTTCCTCTCCTTTGCTGTTGTGACCAGACTTTTAAAATCCTATTTCACACTCTGTGTTAACTTTCAGTCTCTAACACTGTGTCTGTACCCTTCCTACTCAGGTGATTGTGGGCTTGCTGAAGTTCTGGCCGAAAACACACAGTCCCAAGGAGGTGATGTTTTTAAATGAGCTGGAAGAGATCCTGGATGTGATTGAGCCATCTGAATTTGTGAAAGTTATGGAGCCCTTGTTCAGGCAGTTGGCCAAGTGCGTCTCCAGCCCACACTTCCAGGTGGGTCCCAGCTCAGGGAGTGGGTAGGGGTCTGACTTGTAACCACTTGGCACGTGAGGGTTATGCCACAGCTCTTGAGCTTGTCTTTATGGACCCGTGGCACGTGGTGTTGCCACCAGAGAGAGTACTGGGGTTCCACGTGGTGGGAGGCAGTGAGAGTCCTTGCCCAGCCACAGAGCAATCTCATCCAGAGGGGTAACTAAGCTGATCAGTGGATCCCCCTCTGCTGCTCTGTGCTGTGCAGCAGCTGGAGCAGAGGTACTCTGCTACCTCCTGTTTTAGCTGGCAGATGCAATATAGAGGAGATCCATCCAGTGTCACCCTCTCACAGTAGGTCCAAGCTGGCTGCAGTACTGGGTTGAGGCTGATGAAAGAGGCTTGTGGAACACGATTGGCTTCAGACAAGGTTCTCTGTATTATTCCAGCATTGATGATAGGTATACTGAAAGTGGTAGTGTGCTTCTTCCTTGTTCCATGAAACGTGGCTTGCCCAGATGTGGGAGTGGGGTGAAATGGTGATGTAGCCCATCTCCGGGGTGGGTGTGACTGCACAGTGAGGCAGACTGCATCCGGTGTATTTTAGTACAGTGAGGAACAAAGCTGTGTTCAGAAGCCAAAAATGGGATCAAGCTAGGTTGTGTGTAAAAATTTCCCAGAAGGGAGTGACTCTGGAAAGGACTTGGGGAGCTTGTTCAACATTAATTGGATGTGAACTGCTTGTTTGGTTGATGGGAACCAAGGGGCTAACGAGACCTTTACACCTGGAAGTAGCTACAGTATGAAACTGGAACAGTACAGTACAGTGGGAAAAGGAACTTGAATGGAAGAAGGCAAAGGCTGGAGAAGAGGTGTCCTGTACTTCATTCCAGTCCTCTTCTGCTACCAGCTCTTTGCAAAACAGGACTGAAAAACATGGACAACTTGTGAACACTTCACAGTCTAGAGGAATAAACCTTGAAGGTGTTCCGAACAGGAAGAGTAAACAGTTTCAGTGACTGCAACTTGTCAGAGAGCAAAAGTGAGAATGGTCGTCTTCGTAAGTCTAAGCACCTTGGTGTGGGAGAGTTTTCTCCAAGTGGATTGTGCACTAATCAGCAGTCAAAGGCTTAACAAGATACAATAGGTGGAAACCAAGGCTAGGTAAGTGAGCACGAGATGAGTTTCACTTCATTTACTCATGTGAAATGATATATTAAGAGGATATAGTGAGTTCTGTCAGACAAAATGTAGAACAGACTTAGATGCCTCTTTTCCCAGGTGTTTAGCTCATGCTCAAGCCAGTGCTAAGTGCAGAAATTCACACATCAGCTTGGTTACTGCGTTGCTGAAATTTGTAGCTAAATATGAAGAAGTGTGGTTGAATCTCTCTTGAAACTTGCCAGATTTGTTTGACGTGTTGGAGCAGAGTTGGTGCCCCGAGTCTTTCCATGTTTTCACCCATGCTAAATCAGGAAGATGGATTGTGATCCTGGTATTTGAAGCATGCTCAAATGCCTGGGGAGACTGTGTTAGAGAGAAGGCCAGGGAGGGATGGTGGCTGTGGAGCTTTACAGTCTGAGGAAATGAAGGAGTCCTGGAGTTAGTCCGTGCCGTGACGAGGATGATGTTACTGTGCTCAAGTGTTGTGTAGAGAGCATTGGAGTTAATGTTGGACTTGCCTGCTTAAGAATGCAACGTTTTCCCCTCAGGGAAGTGAGAAGTGTCTGGTTAAATGCCATAAGAGAAGGAACTCTAGGCAAAGGGAAAAAAAAAATGGCCATGCAGACGTTGGCAAAGGTCGGCCCTGCTGCCTGTGCTGCGGGGAAGTGTTTGCTCCTCAGCTGGGCGGTGGCAAGCTCTGGTCTCAGCACTGCACAGTTTCCACGTGCACCACAGGTGTTACTGGAAGGAGCCTCTCCAAGAATGGGTTTCTCTCCCACTGCAGGTGGCAGAGCGAGCGCTGTACTATTGGAACAACGAATATATCATGAGCCTGATCAGCGATAACGCAGCCAAAATTCTCCCGATCATGTTTCCAGCGCTCTACAAGAACTCCAAGAGTCACTGGAACAAGTAGGTCTTTCCGCATGCCCTGGCACTTGCTGTGCATGCAGGATTGCTTGACCTACTAGCGATCTTGGGGCATGCTGCTACAGTGCAATGGTGCATGGCACTGGGTGACACCAGGTGCTGAGACAGAGGGGGTGTTGTTAGTGTTGGCATGGGAAGGTGCCACAGCAGACCACGGTGGCCTGTAAGTTCTCAGACATCTTGCAGGGGTCGGCACCGTGGCTGTCAAGTCCATCCAGAGTTTGATACCTGCGTCTCCCTAGCTCTCTTGGAGGTGTGCTGTAGGTTTTCCAGCGGATTCTTGACTGCTTGTTAACTGATGATCGCCCACTTGTGATGGGATACCTCGTCTGATGCACGTACCTGGCTGCCCTTGAGTACAGAAAGAATAGAGAAAGCAGAAACAGCTGGGCAGATGTCAGATTGCCTCCTGTGTCTTCACCCTCAATACTTGTCTGTGTTGTGGTCCTGCCCTAAACTTCCTTCTAGCCTGTCTTCCAACTGCTTCTTACTGATTTCTTACCCATTTAAATCAAACTGCAGAACTTGCTTCTAATGCATTAGCTGGAAGTGCTTAGTCCACAGCTGAGATCCTGAAGCTTTCTTGTAAATAAATAAATAAAATACAGGGAGATGGGGGGGGAAAAAGTCATCTTCTCCTATTCCAGAGTATGGAAGTATCAAAGTAATTAATTCTGGGAAGACTGGACAAGACCAAGACTTAAGTGTATGCTGTGGTAGTAAAGACGGGGTTGTGAGGTAGAATTGCTCCTTACTGGCCTGCTGTTTCTCTTAGTTGTAGCAGGAAGCACAGACTTGAGCCATGAGGCAGGGCTGGTCTGAATGTATGAACATCTCCATGCTGAGCTGTCCTGCTCTCTTTTCCAGTCGGTGTCTGTTAGCCTACACATGCAGGCACCAAAGCATCACACTCCATGCATACATTTACCAGAAGACAGACACATGCATGTGCAGACAGCCACACACACATACAGACATGTGTATAGCTGCTCTCCCACTCAGTGTTACTGCACCTATCAGAGTTCAGAAGGGGACTTCATGTTCCTGTCTGAAATGCTCTGCCAGTTCTCTTTCCTCCTTTTGCAGTCAGCATTCCTGATTCTGCTCTTTCTACTTTTCTTACTTGTCTCTGTTGGTATGGCAGAGGAGGTCCTAAAGGTGTTTTCCTCTTTTCTCTCTATTTTAGCATTGATCACTTTGCCTCAGCACAGGCTGAGTGCCTCAGTTTCTCCTCTTCCTTTCCATAGCTCATTTCCTCCTTGTTTTGTCAGTCAGACTGCATAAATCCAGCAGGGCTGTAGATCTCTTCCTTATTCCATCTGTAGAGCTGGAGATGCACCAGGGCTCACATCTACAGTCTCCTCATTTCCCACAGCTCAGATATCTGACAGTCAGCTTGAATACTTGTTTTTATTCCTTGGGGAGGGTCTTTGTCACTGAGCCTGCTCAGGCACATTGTAACCTAGATGTAGATTACTGACACAAAGGCAGTTTTTTTTCCCTCTGCTCTTTTCTGTTTCCTGGACTGCTGGATGTCTGTGTTTTGGGCAGCTTAGTAGCAAAACTCATGAGTGGGCAGCCCAAAAAAGTCATGTTGTGCATCTTGAGGTTAATTGTGGAAGGCAGTAGAGCTAGATTAGGGAAATCCCTCTTCTGAACAACTCTGAGAAGGTCCTTAGAGTCCTTTCTCTCCAGTTTGTGACTTGAGGAATTGAGTGCGATTGTTTCTGCACTTGCAAAGAGCAGTCAGAGCAGGGCTATCCCAGTGGTCTTCTCTCTTTTCACTCCATCTCTTTCTCTGTATGATGGTCTCAGATGCTATCTGTGCAAAGGGGTTTTTCCACTCTGTGAGGAGGGGCTGTGTGAGGATCTGTACCAATGCTGTGATGTATGAGTTGCTGTGACCGTTTGCTCTTGTCTCTCTCTGCTGCTGGGGCTAACTCAGGGCTGAGATGCTGGAGGACACCACCATGACTTGTTCTCCTTTCCTGTTTTCTTTGCAGGACGATCCATGGACTGATCTACAATGCACTAAAGCTGTTCATGGAGATGAACCAAAAGCTTTTTGATGACTGCACACAGCAATACAAGGCAGAGAAGCAGAAGTGAGTAAGAGCTGCTTGCCCAGTGGCTTGAGCTCGTTGTGGAGTCTCTTTGAATATGCCAACAGCTGGTAGATCCCAGTAGACAGAGGGGGAATGAAAGGCTGGTGCAAATCATTTTATCAGAAAGTAGAGGGCTGCTCAGCAGTAACTGTATGTGGGGGTGAGAAGAGTTATTAAACATGTGGTCAGGTAATCCTTCCACTTCTGCTGAAGCAGTTAGCTTGGAAAAGAGCAACAGAGTTTTCTGGGTCATGAGGAAGTAAACTGCAGTGTGAAAAGTCTGCTTAGCTTTACAGAGAAGCTTTTGGTCTGCCTTGAAAATATTTAGCAGTTCTTATATGTCTTGGTAATGCTTGTAGAATCCTGCTGCTTTAGAAAGTGTTTTCTGAATAATTTTGCTGTGGAGAGCGTAATGAATCTTTTGCACCACAGGATGCTTTCAGTTTTCCAGTAATAAAGATGGAATAATATCTGGAACTTCGAAGAGCAAATGGTGGGGATAAAAATCTTAGCTCAGCAAGTATCTGTGCCGTGATGCAAAGAGAAAACACTGCTCTTTCTGCTGCCTTGTGTTCAGAGTGATTGGTGAGTCCAGTCAGTTCATTAAGATAGAAAGAAACTTTTTTTTTTCCCAAGTCAGATTTCTGCTGGCTTTGTTTTGCAGAAGAGCAATAAATAGCAAAGGTGAGATGTGGAGTTTGGGGGTGGGTAACATATGGAGAAATGAGTAGTTTGCAGTTTCTAAGCTGACGGCGTTGATAACTTTTTTGCTGCCCAGTTATGAAGGGACAGAAGTCACCTGTGTCTCTGGAATGACAGATGTATCCCAACAGTACATGAAGTCATACTGGGCCTAACTGGGAACAAGCAGCACGTGCACCCCGTTGTGACTTGCCCAGAGACTCTGTGCATGCTTAGTGCAGACTGCCTCAGGAGGGGGGACTTTGAGGACCCAAAAGGGTACCAGTGGCCTATTGGTATAGCTTCTGTGGAGACAGAGGAGATATTAAACACCTATCTGCCTTGCCTAGTCTTCCAGAGGACCCTTCTGATGTGAGGGTTGCTAGGAATTGAAGAACTGTAAGTGCCAGTTGCTACCACAGCAGTGGATTGGCAGCAAAGGTTCTGCACCAGGGGGTGGTCAGGCATGGAACAGGCTCTGCAAGGCAGTGGTCACAGCCCCGAGCTGCTGGAGTTAAAGGAATGCACAGTGCTATCTGACATAGGGGTTTGAATTTTGGCTGGTCCTGTGTGGAGTTGGATTCAGTGATCCTCATGGATCCCTTCCAACTTACGAGATTCTGTGATTCTTTAGTATTTTCCCTGTTCTAGGGCATTTGTGAAGCCCGTTCCTGGATCCCTCCATACATTTTAAGTCACAATCAAAGCATATTTATGTTGAGGTCTATCTGCCATTTCCATCAGGCTTTTTCCATCTCCTACAGCTTACACCTGCTCTCTGCTGTTGCAGGTGACAGTGAGCAGTACCAGTGTGCAGCTTATGGAGGATTATTCTGCAAAAGATCCGCAAAGTGTAAAATCATAGAATTGCTTGGGCTGGAAGGAACTTAAAGACCATCCAGTCCCAATCCCCTGGGTGGGCTGGGTTGCCACCCACCAGATCAGGCTGCCCAGGGCCTTGGGGGTACATACCTGCAGGGGTGGGCACAACTTTTCTGGGCAACCTGTTCCAGTGCCTCATCACCCTCTGAGTGAAATTTCTCTCCCTAATATCTAATCTAAATCTCCCCTCTTATAGTTAAAAACTATCCCTCCTTGTCTGATCACTATCAGACCGTGGACACAGTCAGTCCCCCTCCTGCTTATAAGCTCCCTTCAAGTACTGGAAGGTCACTGTGAGGTCTCTCCACAGCCTTCTCTTCTTCAGACTGAACAAGCCCAGCTCCCTCAGCCTTTCTTCACAGGAGAGGTGCTGCAGCCCTCTGAGCATCTTCATATCCCTCTCCAACAGCTCCACATCTTTTTTGTGCTTAGGGCCCCAGGTCTGGACACAGTACTGCAGGTAGGGCCTGACAAGGGCAGAGCAGAGGAAAACAATCCTTTCCTTCTTGCTTTTCTACCACCTCTCTTTTGATGCAGCCCAGGATGCTGTCATTCTTCCAGGCTGCAAATGCACACTGCTGGCTCATTTTCCACTTTTTATCCACCAGGACCCCCAAGTCCTTCTCCAGTGGGCTGCTCTCAAGGAGATCTTTTCCCAGTCTGTACACATATCTGGGATTGCCCTGACACAAGTGCAACATCTTGTTAAACCTCATTATGTTCACGCGTCCACTTCTCAAGTTTGCCCAGGTTCCTTTGGGTGGCATCCATTTTGCACCACTCAGCTTAATGTCAGCAGCACACTTGCTGAGTGTGCCCTCAGTCCCACTGTTTGTCAGAAATAAGGATGCTGAAGAACACTGGTCACAAGATGGACCCCTGGGGCACACCGCTAATCACCAGCTTCTATCTGGGTGTTTATCTGTTGACCTCAGCCCTCTGGCTGTGACCATTCAACCAATTCTTTATCCACCAACTAGTCAGCCTTCAAATCCATATCTCTCCAGCTTAGAGACAAGAGCATGGTGTAGGACTGTGTCACAGGCCTTGTAGAAGTACAGGTGGATGACATCAGTTGCCTTTTCTTTGTCCACTGCTGCCATCGCTTCATCACAGAAAGCCACCAGATTGGTGAGGCATGATGTGCCCTTGGTGAAGCTGTGCTGGTGTGAATCACCTCCTCGTCTCGCACATGCTGTAACATCTCTTCCAGGAGAATCTGTTCCATAATCTTTTCAGGCATGGACATTTGGTGAGGCTCACTGGCCTGTAGTTCTCTTGATCTTCCTTTCTTTAAAACAGGAGCGACTTTTCCTTTTTCCAGCCACCATGGTCTTCATCTGGACTTATTCTTTGGTTACAGTGGGAGGGATTTTGCTCCCCCAACTTCCACTTAGAGGTCTGGGGATGTGGGAGATATGAGAAGCCTAACTAGCAGTGAAGACTATGACAGCACATCAGTCTTCTGTGTCCATTGTTGCCAGTGCAAATGATGAAGGGGCAGAACCATTCTCATTTATCAGGTTCACTCTCCATGGTTTGTCTCTTCTAACCTGTAGAACCCCTTGTTATTTTTCACTTCCCTTGCCTAGTTCCATCTGCATCTTGGCCTTCCTGATCCCAACTCTCCATGTTCAGACAGCATCCCTGTATTTTTCCCTGGCCACCCATCGCTGTTTCTGCTGCCTGTACTTTTCCTTCTCCTTCTTATTCCCTCAGTGTGACCAGCAGGTTCTTGCTCAGCCTTGCTAGTTTCCTGCTCTCTCTGTGTTTTTCTCCTACTAGGGGGATGGAGAGCTCTTGTGCTCTCAGAAAGGTGTCCTTAAGGAGTTGCCTCCTGTGTTCCATTCATATGTTTCTAAGGGCAGTTTTCCAGGGGCTCCTATCTAACAATTCCTTAAACAGCTGGAACTGCTGTGTTCTCCTAAAGTTCAAGGTTCTGACTCTGCTCTTCATCAGGCCCATATTCCTCAAGATCACAACCTCGACCAGGGCACGCTTGCTATGGCCCAGACTGCCTCAGTTATTGAGCTCCTTAATGGTCTGCTCTGCACTGATGAGCACCAAGTCTTGTAACGTTTCACCTCTGGTTGTTCTGTTCAGTACTCAGACCAGGAAGTTATGCTCAGTGCGCTTCTGGATGATTTGCAGCCCACTGTGTTGCTTTCCCATCAGACACACAGGCAGTTGAAATCCTCTATCAAGATGAGACCTAAGATGAGACCTGTGAGCGCAGTGCCTTTGCAGCTGAAGTAAGAAAGCCTTGCTAACAGGCTCCCCTTCATCAGGCAGCCTGTAGTGGACCTGGAGCACCAGGTGTCCTTCACTGATGTAGTCAACATGACTCTTATCTGTTTCTTAGGGTCACTTCAGAGGCAAGCCTCAGAAAATCAAGCATGTGCTTGGGAAGATGAGTTTACCTGAGAAGTATGCCTCAGTTCTTTGCTGAAGGCCATTGTGGAAATGCCCTCTTCTCCCTCTGTGTCTTTAAAACTTCAGCCATACACAAGCAAATGCATGTACCCTTAACACTTCTGCTGCACATTCTGAACTGTAATAGAAAATAAGTCATATCAGGAATAACTTGTTTCTCTTACAGGAAGCAACATTGTTTAGTTGTATCTCCACTGTGGAAGGAGACAGTTTTGTCACAAAAGAGTGTCTTGGAGGCTGCAGGGCCATTCCTGCCCAGCCCCTTGCTTGCTCTTCTTTCAGCCTGGTCCAATGAACAGCAGTCCCAGCAGCTGCCTCCACAGCTCATTTCTGCTGTCTCACTGGCAGAGGTCACTGCAGACCAGGGCCTGCTGGTGCACAGGGATGTGAGGTTGCAATCAACTGCTGTTCTCTTTGCAAATGTGGAGACTTAAATGGAGTAGTAATTGTGCTTGTTTTCTAAAATAAAATCTTAATGTTATGAAGTTTATTGTTTTAGGAGTAAGGTAGCGTTCCTGAGGCTGCTGAGAGAGTGCTGACTGGATTGCTGTAATGCAGGATCAGTCCTTAACTGTACGATACCTGATGATTTCTGCAGGATCTGTGCCTTGTCCAGGGAGACTGACAAGTTTGAAAAGCTAAAGAAGACGAGGCTGCATCTTTGTAGCCAGAAAAAGGAGCAGGCATATAAAATGTTTTCCATGGGGGCCCCTAGAGGCCTTGTACTACCAACTGAGAAAAAGCAAATGTGGCAAAGACCACGTTACCGTGTGCAGCTGGAGGCAATTACAGAGTAAGGACTTCCTTGATGTGGACAAGCAGGACTCCTGATAGACCAGTAGCTAGGATAAGAGCCAGAGAAGTTGAAAAGCAGAAATGAAGCAGAGATTTTAGTGCAGAGGTTTAAAATGTAAAAGGGAATACTAGCAAGGGGTGGTGGAAAGTCACCTCTGTGGGGGAAAGTTCACTGCGCTGGGATTTACGAGCAGCCAAGTTTGAACGGTCACATGAGGACTGCAGCAAAGTCTGTGCCAAGCTGAAGAGCTGTTTACCCCAGAACCCAGGCTCTCAACTGTGCTCATGCATCACAGAGGCGAGGAGAAGGTTCCTGTGCCACCTGCTGCTGCTGCTGCTGCCCCACTGTGCTCTGGGCTGAGCGAGGTGCACGCCTGCCTGCCTGCCTGCCTCCCTCCCTGGGCTGGCTGCAGCACATCTATTCTTCTTGCCCTGTCTCACCTCTGGATTGAAAACTGGGATCTCTGAAGGGCTGAGCAGCTCTTCCCTTACCTGTGCACTTCTGCTGTCCCTATTCTTGTCTTCCTGTTGGTGAAAGCTGTGCTGCCCCCGGGAGTTCACACTTGTGCTCTCTCTGTCTGCAGGGGGAGGTTCAGGATGAAGGAACGAGAAGAAATGTGGCAGAAAATAGAGGAGCTGGCCCGGCTGAACCCTCAGGTGTGTAACAGCAGGATGTGGGACAGACAGAACAAGAATGTGCTGGGGGAGCTAGGCTTGCTTCCTGAGCTCGTGAGGGCAGGCTGTAGCACCTCAGTCTTGTGCACACAGTGCTGATCTGTCCCTTTCAGGCTATGTTTTACCAGTCTGGACTTCAGCAGTATTGACTCTGGATTATGCTGGTCAGGGCGTGTGTATTTGTGGACTCCTCTCTTGCCTGTGGCTACACGTGCAGTTTGCTGTGGCTCGTTTGGGTGCCACAGGCAAAAATGGATGAGGGAAAATGCTCCTCTGCTAACCATGCACATGCTGTGACTTTGAGAGCGCCTGAAAGGGTGACTGGAGGAAGTGTGCCACGCTGTTAGGATGCTGAGGGGAGGAAATTTGGTGTTGGGTGATGTGCTCATTCCCCGGTGTTCTGTGTTATCTGCAGTATCCCATGTATTATGCACCTCCATCATTGCCTCTGGTCTGCTGCATGGAAACAGAGACCCCGACTGCAGAGGATATTCAGCTACTGAAGAAAACAGTGGAGACGGAGGCTGTGCAGGTGTGTAAGTGACGAGGGGCCTTCCAGAGACTGCTCAGGGCATGACCAGTTAGTGCAGCAGGCAGAACAGCTCGTTCAAAACGTCCTGAGGGTAAATGCCCCCTACTCTAATTCCTGGTTGTTAGACATCAGCCTGTGCAAGTGGGGCTTCTCTGCGTCCTTGTGGTCTGCGGCTCTCAGGCTGTTCTGTAGCACATCACTGAGTCAGCCAGCAAAGCAGTTGGTATCAGAGGAAGGGAAGGTTTAGGCTGTACAGGGTTGAGTGGGGTGTGCCGCAGATACCTGACTTCTTTGGTTTGTCTGTAGATGCTGAAAGACATTAAGAAGGAGAAGGTTTTGCTGCGCCGGAAATCTGAGCTTCCTCAGGACGTCTACACTATAAAAGCCCTGGAGGCCCACAAGAGAGCAGAAGAGTTTCTCACCTCAAACCAGGAGGCTCTCTGACGGGCTCAGAAGCTGGCCCAAGAAGCTATGTCCCATCCCTTTCCCCCAGGGGTCACAGAAATGCACTCGGTTCTCATGTATAATAAGGAATGAACATGGTGAGCCGTGCCTGTCCTCCACTCCATCCACATCCCTGCAGGATAGATCTGTTTTTATGTTGTACCTTCTATCTCACCACTGCCATCTCCTCCTGCTTCTCCTCCTCCCACACACGCAGTGTGTGTGTGCGAAGGGAACCTGTCTGCCCTGCCGGTCCAGGCAGGGGTTGCTTCATTTCCAGTTGCTGCCTGGTTTTTGCTCTTCCTGGGAGCCTTGCAGGGCAGGCAGGCGCTTCCTGTGTCTGTGCTAGAAGGAGGGCTGAAGGGAGCTGCTCCGGGCTCTCTGTAAGCAAAGAGAGAACCGAGCCCCTCCGCGGCTCACCTCTGCGGGGCGGCTGAGCCGGGCAGCGGTGCAGAGCAGTTGACCTCTCAGGCTTCAGGATCAGCCTGAGCTGCCCAGTTCAACCCAGCCTGAGCCAGGTGTGTTGGCTGGAGACTGCCGTGCGTGGCTCAGCGTGCTGCAGCCATCCCCAGTGCCCGCCTCCGTGTGCCTGCCCCAGTGCTGCTTGCGGTGACCAGAGGCTGAGCGCGTGGTGGGAGCTGCTGGCAGAGTTTGTGGGGGCTCTGCCAGCTCTCCACCCTGCCTCAGGGTGCAGCTCCGCAGTGGGAGGGCTCACGAATAGCAGGAGATGTTTGCTTCCGCCTTTCTTTTGCCTCAAGCCCCCCGTTCTGTTCCCCTGTTGGTGGAGTGGGGGTTCAGTGCTTCGCCACCCCCAGTATAGCTGGGTGCAAGCACTGCATCTTATTGCTTCCCTCCTTTTAGAGCATCCTTAGAAGCTCTCTTGTGGGAAAGTAAATTCCTTCGGCTCTTTGTGTTGGTCCTCGCTAAGTCGTCTCCATTCCAATGTCTTGGGTAGTTGTGGGCCCAGAGTTAACTTCTGCTTTGTAGCAGGTGTCAGCCACTGACTTCTGCTTTCTTCCTCCTCCTCCTGCTCAATTAAAATACTCCCGCAGCTTTCCCTCTGTTGTTCCCATCCTTAGCTCTGCAGTGGCTGTGGGGTTTCTAGGAAGCTTGTGCTGCTAAAGTCATTTCTGCAAATTAGTGGAAGCAATGGATACACGTTTACGGGGCCAGGCCAAGTTTGTGCGTGTTCAGTTGTCTCCTCTTTATGACCAGTGGCGAGATGCCACCATCGAATTGCTTCTGTAGGTGCTCTGAGCAGTTTGCCTCGCCTCTTCCTTCAGCACCTGCTGTGGCCCGAGGCCCTCGTTAGCTGCGTGGCGCAGCAGGGAAGTGCTGTGCTGTGCTCATTTAGCATTTAGAGCGCACTCAATAGCCCAGGGGCTCGTGCAGCACTTGGCTGCTACTGTGATCCAGCTCTCGGAGCTCTGTCTCCTACCTTCTTGTGGTGCAGATTCAATCCCAGGCCAAGGCGATAAGTAAGGGAGTGGTCTTTGCTTCTTACTGCTGCGCTTGCTTGCTTGACACATAAGCTTGAGTGGGATGGCAGTAGTGCAGGGAGCTTACGGAGTCGGTGCCGGTCGGACACTGCTTTGCAGCATCCATAGGTCATTGCAGAAGGTCCTGGTGTACCTGCTTTGTCCCCACCAGCAGACCCCTTCCAGGTCGGAGCTGGTGTGCAGCGCATCTCCTTTCCTCCCTCCAAACCAAGCTGATCCCTCCCTGTGTATCCAGCGCCCCCTGCTCCCTTTAGGCATGCCAGCATCTCTTGGGAGCAGCTGCCAAGCGTGAGGGGACGGATCACCCACACCGCGCAGGACCCCGCCTCCCCTGGCTCCGTGCGCCGGGCCGGTTCATCAGGAGACTTACAAACACCTCAGGGAGGTTATTGCTTATTTAGAACATGACTCTGAGCTCATGGTCAGCTGCCAGTCGATTACCTCACGTGAGCCTGGCACAGCACGTAGACACGCGCCGGAGGCGGCGGCGGGGCTGCAGCTGAGGGTTGCTACCTGCAGCTGGGCTGGGGATGCTCCTTCCTCGTCCCGGGGCTGGAGCAGCACTGCTGGGAGCAGGCCGTGCGCAGGGCAGGGCGGTGATGCGCGGTGCCTACGTGCTGTGCGGCTGCCACGTTCTCGTAGCTTTGTGTGTCGCGTTCCGGGTCAGGGACCTCACGCTCGGTACCTTACATTGCCATTAGTTTACTGCCTCCTCATTCCAGTCCTGGACTTTGAAGAAGGGGACCACGGGAGGTGGGGGGAGCACGTGAGTGTTCTCTGCCGCCCGCAGGCCTGCATCTGCCACACTACAGCTGCCCCTCACTCCACACCCGGTCGGTAGCGTTAATGCTCATCTCTGCCTTTGCCTTTCCCCACATCAGCCAAACGGACAGAACTGGAGCTGCCTCTTCCACGTCACGTGGCCCCTCCTCGGAGGGAACGAGCAAAACTAACTACTGCGTTCACCCCCTGGACACAAGTATTAAGCTGCTTACAGTTCATATGTACATATGGTGTACTTTATTTTCAGTAGAGCATTACATAGTATGAAAGTGTTGGATTTTGTACAGATGTCCCTGTATGTACAGTACTAAATAAAACCGATCTCTTGGAAAGACACGTTGGGCTCGACCTGCGGTGGCTGACGTGCACCGTGCGCGGGGAAGGGTCACCGGGACGGCGTTTGTCCCGTGCTGACCCGGCCACGACCGGGCACGACCCGTCCTGCCCGCGCACGCGGGGTCAGAAGCGGTTCTGCAGCACCGGGACGGCGCGGCCGGAGCCGGGCGGGAGAGGGAGGGAGGTCGGACCGCGTCAACGGGCAGAACGGGGGCGAGCGCCGTCAGCGGGCAGGAGGACGGACGGAGGACGAGCCGCGGGGCCGGGCTCGGCCTTCACTTCCACTCGGGCCCGGAGCTGCCCGCGCCGTGCCGGGCCTGCAGCGCGCGCTGCACCACCGCCTGCCATTGCTCGTCCGAGATCTGGCTGGCCCAGGCGGGGATGCCCAGCGTGGGCAGCTTCACGCCCGCCATCGTCCTCTTCACCAGCTCCACGTGCTCTGCGGGCAGAAAGCCGTGAGCGAAGCGGGCCGGCGCGGAGCCGCGAAGCCCCCGAGGAGCCTCAGTTACCTGGGTCCATGGGGATGGAGCCGCGGCCGCCCTGCGCCGCCGCGCCTTCCTCCTCCTCGTCCTCGCTGTCCGCGGGCGGCTCGGGCAGGTGCAGCCTCAGCATCTGAGACAAAATGGGGCGGCGGTGGGTCGGGGCCGCGCTCCCTCCGCCGCCGGCTCCCCTCCCCCCGCGCCGCCCCGCTACCTGCAGCCGCTCCTGGAGGCCGGGGCCCGGCTCGGCGCCGCCCGCGGGAGGGCCCGGCTCGGCGGGGCCCTGCTCCGGCTCCTGGCTCAGCGGCTGGTACAGGTACTCGCCGGCCCCCTCCTCTTCCTCCTCCTCTTCTTCCTCCTCCTCCTCCTCATCCTCCTCGTCGCCGCTCCATCCCGCCGCTCCCTCGGGGGCCTCCGGCGGCCCCGGCTCCTCGGGACACACCCGCTCCGGCCCCATCCTCCGCGCCACCGCCATGCACCGGGCGCGGCCCCGCCGCCACCCGGAAGCCGCCCCGCCGCCGGGCACTGTGGGTGCCGTAGTCCCGCGGCGGACTCCGCCCACCGGAGAGACCCCCGCCCTCTCGGCCTCCCCGGGGCGCTCCGTCGGGGACCCGCCGCCCCAGCGTCCCGAAGCCCTGAGGTTCGGCGGGTCCCCGTCGGGCCGCCCGGAGTCGGGAGGGAGGAGAGGAGGGAGAGGAGGAGGGACGGAGCGCCGCGGGGCGGGCGGGGCGGCGCCGGACTACAAGTCCCAGCGAGCGGCGGGCGCCGCGGCGAGGTGCCGAGCTCCTCCGCGCCGCCAGGTACCGGGCTGCGGCCGTCGGGGGCGGCCGCCGGGGCGGAGCGCGTTGCGGCGGGGCCGCGCTCGGGGCCGGCGGCACCGCGGCGCTCCGGGACGCCGAGCGGGGCTGGGGGTGCGGGCGGCGCGGGGCGGGGCGGCCGCGGGGGGCCGTTCGTCGGGCCCCGTTCCTTCGCGCGGGGCGGCTGAGAGCGTGCGGCGGCCCCCGGGCCTCGCGCGGGGCTCTGTGTGCGCGGGCGGCTCCGGCGCTCGGCCTCGGCCGTGTGGGCTCCGGGTCGGCCGGCGCCGTGGTCGCGCCTCGCGTCCGCCCCGGCAGCCGGAGCGAACTCCGTCGGGCGCTGCGGTGCCTCAGCGGGCTGCTCCGAGACCGTGGCCGCGCGAGCACGGCCTCCTCCAGCGCTGCCGAAATCGCGCTGCCGGACGTGCGGGCTTGCGGCTCGACCCTGCCGCAGCATAAATGGTCAAAGCACGGGGTAAATGTCAAGCCCGAGCGAGAAAAGCGGGCTGCTCTCAGGCTATCTCTGACGGTACGTTGGGCATCCCTGAAATAGAACGATCTATATGGGCTGTGCGAGCCGCCTGCGCTATTTTAAGTGTTACTGAACCTCACGGCCGGCATCTTTTGGGAGCCGGGGAGCGAGGCGGCCGCACGGTAGGGATCTGCTGTGTACGGGGTGACGAGGGAAGGGCTGAGCGGGGCGGGGGGCGGCTGGGGCGTCTGCGGGTTTGGGTGCGGAGGGGAAGCCGGGCGGTGCGTCTGAGCTGTGGTTTGGGTGCCGTGCTGAATGCTGGCGGCTTTCTGTCCCGAACGAAACGTTTTCGCAGCCAATTGTTAGGCTTGCGAGTAGCGAATAAAGCCGCTGAAAGATCCGGGTGTGAAAAAACCATGGCTGTTGTTTTTTGTTTTTTAGTTTTTTTTGTCCGCCCCTCCGTCTGTCCGAATCGCCGCACCAGATTTGGAAGGTGTGCTGGGGGGGAAACGAGCGAATTGTTTTCTGGTGATCTCAGCCGCCGATGTTCTGTGCTGAAGGAGTGCCGGGAGGCACACGCTGGGGCAGCTGGAGGGAAGGCTGCTCCGTGCTGGCTGTGCTCGGCACCACGGGCGTTCTGTCGGGGCTCCGCACTCGAAGAACACGGGGCTGTGCGAGGCTCCGGCAGCACAACGCCTCTCGCTGCCGGGGAGCGGAGGAGGTGTTGAAGGATGTCCGCGGCTGTTCCTCCTCCAGCAGACTTGGGATCTTGTGCTCGGCTGGTGCACTGTTGTGGCTCGCGGTGTCAGTGGGCTGATCTGTGGTTGTGTGCGGCCGCTGCTGCACCGCGTGCTTGGAGGCACACCTGGGTGTGTAATGCTGTGCATGGCAGGTGGAGGGATGCAGGTGCTCTGCAGGGACCCCTTACCACCACCTGGACAGAACCCGCTGCTTTGCCGTCAAAGAGATTCAGGCTGAGCTTTTTGGCGGTGTGGAGTCACACTGTTTGCTCTGCTCCGAGCATCAGCTGTTGTGTCGGGTCAGTTTGGGGCACCAGGTTTGCCCGGCGTGCCGCCTCCTGCAGCGTGTGCCCATCTGGCTCTGCTGTATCCGTATTTCTCTACTTTGTACCTGAGATCCCCGTCATCCAAAGTGGGAGATCACAAATGTGTTTTGCGTGGCTGCATGCCACGATGCTGGGATCACAGCTTTTGGGGTTCCTCTCCCTCCCTGGCTGTGCCCTCTGTAATCCTTATACTGAACAACTCTAAGAACTGTCCAGAGCCCAGTGTGTTAGTTCCCTGCTAAGAAGTTCTCATAGTAGGGAGCCCCTAAGGATTCCTTCACTCTTCCCACACTTTTCTCTGTGTAAAACCAGTGCGTGTCGGCCTGGTCTGATGAACAGCAGCAAGAAGCAAGATGGTTATGCATCTGTTTGCTTGCAAAGGACTCCTGTCTCCAGGGCAAAGGTGATGCATCTGAAGCACAGCCATGAACTCAGGTGCTGTCACCCAGCACCACCCCTGGGTGTGTGTGAGCTGGCAGCTTTGTTGTCAGGGATGAGCTCTCGAAAAATTTTTCCTGGTAGGTTCGGCCTTGAGTAATTGTAATTGTAGGAAATAACATTGCGACACTGTTTGCTGCGGAGTAAACATCGCTTCTAACACCCTAAGCAGGGCTGTGGGCTGCTGCTGCGCAGGGCCAGGTGACTCCTTGGGATGTGTCACTGTTGTTTCCTGTGTTCCCATGACAGCTTGATGATGAAGCTGCTCCTGGTAGTGATGGTAGTGGCCTGCTCTGTGGGGAGGTTTCCTTGGCAAGCATCTCCAGCTGGCTCCAAGGGGAAGAAGAATCATAGAAAGGCCTGGGTTGCAAAGGGCCACATCCAGTTCCAACCCCCTGCTGTGTGCAGGTCACCAACCAGCAGCCCAGGCTGCCCAGAGCCACATCCAGCCTGGCCTTGAATGCCTGCAGGGATGGGGCATCACAGCCTCCTTGGGCAGCCTGTGCCAGTGCCTCACCACCCTCTGGGTGAAATTTCCCTGATCTTTCTACCATAAAAGCAGTGGTGGTGGAACCAGGAGTTGGACCTTCTTCCTTATGGGTCCCTTCCAACTCAGGATATTCTGTGAGAAATGAACTGCTTTGTAGAAAAAAAAAAAGCTTTGTCTGCCCCAGGAGGAGCACTGGCAATGTTGGCACGGCTGGTGAAATCCGCTCCAAACTTGAGGAGCCTCCTCCAGCATGGCAGAGCCAAGGAGTGGCTTTGAGGAAAATAAACCTGCATTGGTTGGGTTTTTCAGTGATGGCCCAAGGGCAGTTATGGGTATTCCTTCAGAATCACCTAAAAAGTGACTTTGGTGGTCTCCATGGAAACTCTTCTGTCGCTTTGTGGAGGGCTTGTAGGATAGCTGCTGCCTGGCTTTGAGGAACAGAAAGGCATTACAAGGTGGAATCTGAAGGAGAAGTGGCTCTGCAGGAGGGACGTCTTGACCTGACCGGCTTGCAGGGGAGCTTGGCTCAGGCTTGGCTTGGCCTGTGTCCTTTGGTTATCAGTTTCACTCTGGCTCCTTCCCCAGCTCTGAGGAGCTGGAGATAAGGCACGAGCGTGGCGCTGGGCCATGTGGGCACCAGGGCTGTGAGCTGTGGCTCTGCTTGCCTGGAGGGCCTGGGGCTGCCTGGCTCTGCACATGGCTGCTTCAGGAGCAGCATTCTCTTCATGCAAACATAACCACCTTCCAAAAGAAAAATGGGCTGAGAAAACGTGTGGGGATTTTAGTCATCGTTCTGAGGCGTCTGCACAGTTCTTCGCCTTCTGCAAATGCTAAAGTGGAGCGTGGGGGGAGCCTGCTAAGTCTGGGGAGCGGAAGCCGAGCAATTAAAAAGGGGTTTTTCTTTGGGCTGTTTGAAATGCTGACACTTCTCCTCTAATGGCTGCTTTTCAGCTGTGGATGAACTGCTTACGGCTGTGACAGAGGTGCTGTCTGACAAGTGCCTGGGCAGGGCTGTGCTCCGCATCCTTGGGTCCTGGGTGAAGCTCTGCAGAAATCTGCCCTGCTGAATGCCTCGAGAGCTGCTCCGAGCCACCTGCTTGTAGTGTGAGTTATCATCCTACCTGATGTGCAGAGCTACAAACGGTAGGGGGAAGGGGCTTATGCTGATGCTGAGTGATCAGCACGCGTGAGTGCTGCTGTTGCAGTGCACACTCCTACTGGGGACTCTGTTGCTTTTGGAGGGAGGTGTTCTTTTGGGGCT